TGTTCAACAATTTTAGATTTTTCTAATGGCATATTATAAGTAACTGTGAATACTTTGTGATCACTGAAACTACCTTCATAAACATTAGATTTGCACAACATGTTCTCAACGTTTGTTAGTATGTAATCGACTTTAGTAGATGAAGTTTTCCCTGACTGGTTGGTAAAAACTCTAGTAGGAGTCAAAGGTGTCACTTGTAAATTGAAATTGAGTAGTAGTTCATCTGATTGGATCTTTTCAGTAGTATTTTCTACGTAATTGACATTCAAGTCACCACATACAAAGATATCTATTGCAAGGTTATGACATCGAAATCAAAGTCCAATCATCCTAATGGAAGAGCCCAGGAGAGCCAAGAGACCCAAAAAAATTATGTCAAGTTCGATCAAATGTCAAGGTTTTGCTCACTGTTTTCATCGATTACTGTGGCGTAGTGCATCAGGAGTTCTTGCCACATGGTCGTACGGTCAATAAGGAATATTATATTAGGCCCACTTACAAGAAACGATATGAAGAATACGTTTGGTATTGTCAAAAAACAATGCATGGCTTTTACATCACGATAATGCAAACACCGTTATCATGCCTCAGCCACCGTATTCATGACATTTGGCCCTCTGTGACTTTTTCCTCTTCCCAAGATTGAGAAGACCCATGAAAGGGCGGCATTTCGCGACGAGTGAGGACATAAAAACTGAATCGCTGGGAGAGCTCTGAGGGGGACTACTTTAAAGGGAACAAAATAGAAATTGACAAAAATATATATATTTTTTTAGAAAAATGAAAATTCATCTCATTTTTTGAACAGACAGCGTATTTACAGTGCAATAAAGTGTTGAAGAATTTTAACCAAATGACCAAAAAATAACCAAATGAATTTCATGAATAAAAGTAAGGTTGTTTGCATCAGTAGCTATATCATTTTGTTTTCATTACTTTGACAGATTCATTTTGGAAACAAACTTTTGAGGCATTTGTATTTCCAACAAAACATAGTACGAGGAGAAACTAAAGAATTGTGGTAGAATGAAATGGATTTTTTTTTATGCAATCATAGGAATTATTCAGAATATCATACACAGATATTTATTGCTTATGAGATGTAACTTACGGGTCTAACGTTATTTGGTGGCACTGGTAAAACTTCGAAGAAGAGAGCATCTGTGGGATGCTCCATGGTGATATCTGAAAGAACAGATATCAACTGCACCAGAAAATCTTTTTCATTTTTCCAAATATTTCTCATGTATTTCCGTGATTCTTCAGGAGTGATGTATCTCGACTGGGCCTCGGAGACTCTATCACCAATTGCAGATTTGTTCCTTGAAAGAAACGAATTTAATGAAGAAAAATGCAATATATTTTTTGAGTTTACTTACAAATCTGATTTCCTAATGTTCAGTATTATCCTATTTTTCAAAGCTTGAATCCTGTCAATTCTTTGTTTGCAAAACATACAAGCAGCTTTAGTTTTCACCTCTTTCAACATTTCATATATGACATGATTTTGTAACTTTTCAGTGTTTGTGCTCAACACATATCTACCACCAAGTTTTTCTGAAAAAAATAAAATAAAGTTAGTAAAGTCATGTGTTCTCTCAGAATTGTGCAATGGTATGTTTGAATGTTTTTCAATAAGCATACCACAATCCTAAAAAGGACAATACAGAGATAAAATAGTTACTCACCAAAAGTTTCAGTAGCCAATTGGTCATATGCCAATATGGATGAAATACTTTCTTCCGGAATATTTTCATATTTTTCATATTCCAAGATCAATTCTGTTATTTTGGCCTCAACTTCCATGGCTTCAGTCAACAGTCCACAATTCAATAATTTTATTTGTATTGTCAAGATCTTTTTAACATGGGCTGAAAAATTTACGAAAGAATAACATCAACTATTTTTGAAACGATATTCCAATATATGAATAGAATAGGATAGAAAAGAATTTATTCGTCATTAAAAATTTTTACAATTGCATTGCATTACATAACACTTATAAAATTTTATCAGACTAGTCAAACGTAAGCACTAGGCTATATAAAATATAAATAGATATATACATGTACATTAAAAAAATAAAAGAAAAGCATCTTATTGACTTATATTAGGAGATTATAAATTCTTGCACAGAATAAAATACATTATTTGCTAGGTGACTGTATTTCTCACTGATATATTATCAATTCCTGTACATTTTTTATTTTTTAGACTGTTAATTACTGCGTCAATTTCACATTCGTTAACGGGCATAAAGAAAAACGTATTCAATTCAATTCCAGAAACCGTTCATACGGATGATCTATTGTCGCCAAAATGGTCTGCTAAGCTATTTTCCACCACTGAAGAGAAATAGTCCCCAAACATGTTCGCAACATGATCTCTATCTGTGATTACCATTCACATTGATTGAGTAATATTGAGAGTAATATCTCTTTGAATTTCTTTTCTGTTCGTTTCTTTGTTGACTAGATTCCAAACTGTTCTATTTTTATTGTTAGAATTCTTAGTTACATTTTCGTAAAAATTCAACTTTGAAGCTTTTATTAATGATTCATAGTCTTTCTTCGCTTTTTCGTATGCATCCCGAGAATCTTCGTTGCCTATATTTTTACATAACCAATGCATACTTTTTAAATCAAGACTGGCCTGTTTCACTTCAGGAGTTATCCAGTTATGTTTATTACTAGTGGACGATTTGTGTTTTTTGGTCGGACATTTATCGATAGCATCACTTATGATATTCATGAAGGCCAGAAAGCTCTCATCTATATCAGTTTTGTTATATATTACATCAAAACTGGTTTTGGACAATGTCGAGGAGAGTTGTTTCAAATTATGCTCTGATACATCTCTAGACATAACATAAGATTGTTCAACAATTTTAGATTTTTCTAATGGCATATTATAAGTAACTGTGAATACTTTGTGATCACTGAAACTACCTTCATAAACATTAGATTTGCACAACATGTTCTCAACGTTTGTTAGTATGTAATCGACTTTAGTAGATGAAGTTTTCCCTGACTGGTTGGTAAAAACTCTAGTAGGAGTCAAAGGTGTCACTTGTAAATTGAAATTGAGTAGTAGTTCATCTGATTGGATCTTTTCAGTAGTATTTTCTACGTAATTGACATTCAAGTCACCACATACAAAGATATCTATTGCAAGGTTATGACATCGAAATCAAAGTCCAATCATCCTAATGGAAGAGCCCAGGAGAGCCAAGAGACCCAAAAAAATTATGTCAAGTTCGATCAAATGTCAAGGTTTTGCTCACTGTTTTCATCGATTACTGTGGCGTAGTGCATCAGGAGTTCTTGCCACATGGTCGTACGGTCAATAAGGAATATTATATTAGGCCCACTTACAAGAAACGATATGAAGAATACGTTTGGTATTGTCAAAAAACAATGCATGGCTTTTACATCACGATAATGCAAACACCGTTATCATGCCTCAGCCACCGTATTCATGACATTTGGCCCTCTGTGACTTTTTCCTCTTCCCAAGATTGAGAAGACCCATGAAAGGGCGGCATTTCGCGACGAGTGAGGACATAAAAACTGAATCGCTGGGAGAGCTCTGAGGGGGACTACTTTAAAGGGAACAAAATAGAAATTGACAAAAATATATATATTTTTTTAGAAAAATGAAAATTCATCTCATTTTTTGAACAGACAGCGTATTTACAGTGCAATAAAGTGTTGAAGAATTTTAACCAAATGACCAAAAAATAACCAAATGAATTTCATGAATAAAAGTAAGGTTGTTTGCATCAGTAGCTATATCATTTTGTTTTCATTACTTTGACAGATTCATTTTGGAAACAAACTTTTGAGGCATTTGTATTTCCAACAAAACATAGTACGAGGAGAAACTAAAGAATTGTGGTAGAATGAAATGGATTTTTTTTTATGCAATCATAGGAATTATTCAGAATATCATACACAGATATTTATTGCTTATGAGATGTAACTTACGGGTCTAACGTTATTTGGTGGCACTGGTAAAACTTCGAAGAAGAGAGCATCTGTGGGATGCTCCATGGTGATATCTGAAAGAACAGATATCAACTGCACCAGAAAATCTTTTTCATTTTTCCAAATATTTCTCATGTATTTCCGTGATTCTTCAGGAGTGATGTATCTCGACTGGGCCTCGGAGACTCTATCACCAATTGCAGATTTGTTCCTTGAAAGAAACGAATTTAATGAAGAAAAATGCAATATATTTTTTGAGTTTACTTACAAATCTGATTTCCTAATGTTCAGTATTATCCTATTTTTCAAAGCTTGAATCCTGTCAATTCTTTGTTTGCAAAACATACAAGCAGCTTTAGTTTTCACCTCTTTCAACATTTCATATATGACATGATTTTGTAACTTTTCAGTGTTTGTGCTCAACACATATCTACCACCAAGTTTTTCTGAAAAAAATAAAATAAAGTTAGTAAAGTCATGTGTTCTCTCAGAATTGTGCAATGGTATGTTTGAATGTTTTTCAATAAGCATACCACAATCCTAAAAAGGACAATACAGAGATAAAATAGTTACTCACCAAAAGTTTCAGTAGCCAATTGGTCATATGCCAATATGGATGAAATACTTTCTTCCGGAATATTTTCATATTTTTCATATTCCAAGATCAATTCTGTTATTTTGGCCTCAACTTCCATGGCTTCAGTCAACAGTCCACAATTCAATAATTTTATTTGTATTGTCAAGATCTTTTTAACATGGGCTGAAAAATTTACGAAAGAATAACATCAACTATTTTTGAAACGATATTCCAATATATGAATAGAATAGGATAGAAAAGAATTTATTCGTCATTAAAAATTTTTACAATTGCATTGCATTACATAACACTTATAAAATTTTATCAGACTAGTCAAACGTAAGCACTAGGCTATATAAAATATAAATAGATATATACATGTACATTAAAAAAATAAAAGAAAAGCATCTTATTGACTTATATTAGGAGATTATAAATTCTTGCACAGAATAAAATACATTATTTGCTAGGTGACTGTATAGTCTCGATTTGAATGTTTGCAGACTGCATTTATTTCCAAATAGTTTGACTGCATGGTTATAGTAAATGATGCCTTGATAACTCGCAGAGTCCTGTCCCACCGCCAAACGTGAGTAAGGTAGTCTCAATTCGTTACCCCTTCCTGTTGTAGTTATGGCACATATTATTTTTTGTGTTGTGAGATTCTTTTTTTTATATTTACAGCTACTACATATATGTACAGGCAGGAAAGAGTAAGTATGGACAGCTGAGTGAATGTGTTCTTTCATGATTCTTTATACTGAAGTCCAGCTAGGCATCTCATCACTTTTTTTGGGGTTTAAATGCTTTCATGGCATGAGCTGAGTTTCCCCAGAAGCGCAATCCGTAAGATAAAATAGACTGCACAAGTCCATAGTATATTAATTTTAGCACTTCCATCGAGACAGTTCCACGTGACTGTTTTATTATAAAATATATGTTGCTCAGTTTTGTTACTATATTTTCTATTTGTACTTCCCATGTTAGTTTTTGATCGATGGTTAGACCTAAATATTTGAAGTGATTCACAAGCTCAATGGACTTGCTATCCATTTTTATAAGAGAACAAAAATCATAGGAAATGTTTTTCTGCTGGAAAATCATAAATACCGTTTTGGTGACATTGACCCATTATTTTTATACCTCTTGGAGAATTCATGTGATACCGCATGTGCTGGTTCTACGGAAAGAGATAACTCGGTTCGTGCCACCATTTGAGTTGTGTAATCTGCATAGATTGTTTTTTGTTGTGACATATTTGAATTTTCTATATCACTCATGAGAGTATAAAAAGAATTGGAGCAGGGTTGAGCTCTGCGGAACTCCCATTGTAACAGAAGCAGGATGTGACTTCATCGAATCAATCCTTACCACTTCTCTTTTTTTATATATAAGGCAACCCAGTCATTGGCAACTGCCCTGATTTCAATTCTGAGCAGTTTTTTTAGAAGTAAGCTATGGTTCACCATATCGAATGCTCTAGTTAAATAAAAAAATTTGCTTGTTATTGAGACTTGTATATAGATTTTTCTTCCTGAAAACTTATTTCTTCAACCCAGAATTGCACCATACTGGAAAAGTTCAGGTTTATTTTTTGGGGAACATATATAAAATGAGAAATAAAACTTTGTATGTTTTTTGCCACTTTTATTTGTAACTAACGTTACTGCAGTTTCTTACTATAAGGACATTTTCAAACAATTACAATGAAAAATTATAAATGTTTGAAAATGTTCTTATAGGACGAAGCTGCAGTAATGTTAGTTACAAATAAAAATGGTAAATAAACAGTTTTATTTCTCATTTTTCATGATGATCTCCTACCAGGTAATAACGTGGTAGGAGATCATATTTTTGATATTCATTTGTATTATTTTTAAATCAAAACACACTGCTAAATGATGTAATTTATTTTGAAAGATTGGGACACACATATTAACGAATGATGAGAATATTGAATCTAAGTAAACATTCTTTCAATTTGGAGTATTATTGGTTTAATAGTTTATGATAATCGAATGAATATAATAGAACTAGTGCGTGAGTTTTCTGGACAAACCACATTCGGACCAAGATCTTCATTGAACAAAATGCGTCAGGGATATTGTTGTCGCCACAAATTATGATCTTACTAGCAGAGTATATTTTTGAAATATAATTAATTGTAGCAGTATGTTCCATATAACTATCTACTACAGAAAGAGGAGGAATATATACACCTTCGATAACAATTTTTGAAGCCCCTATTGATAATTTGAAATACAGATGTTCTGATTAGTGTGCTTAAATTTTCAATTTTAGAATTTTTTCACCAAAAGTTTTCATTGCATACATTTATAAATGGTATATTTATAAGAACTACTATTTGACCTACCAATAACAAATTATATTCTCAGATTCTGTTGAATTATTTGAAAATCACAGCCTGTGAAATGAATAGAAAACAATGAATATACTTACTTGGTGTTTGTATATGAAAACATGAAAGACAGGACATTTTCAAAACAGTTCCAATGATTTTATGAAATAAAGGATTAACAACTGGTAAAGGAAGATCAATATACCCAAAATGCCCTGGGCAGTTCATCATTGTTTTGGTACAAGTACCACATATTTCACCTTTATCAGATATAGGTCCTGAAATTGAAACTCAATCATTTTCTGATCAGAAAAGTAAGACTGCCAATATTATTTTATGAACAGGCACATTCTCAGTTCAATACTCACCTAACTTTCCATCATATAATCCTCCTGGTATTGGATGACCCAATGCATCGAACATAAGTGGCGTTATAATTTTGGTAACAGCTAATTTTCTTATTTCTTCAGGAGTGTATAGTGAAAAACCTATCACATCTGGAGTAAGATGTATTTTATTCATGATTCCTGAGAACTATGAACCAAAAATTTCAAAAAGCCTAAAAACGCAACTTATATAAGTTCAAATGACTTCTGCTACAAAATTGTAGCTGATCCTGTATCAATTTCAATTACCTATGTAATTGTAGGTAATAATAATTCAAAAGTAGATAAAGATACATTTATTTCATTATATTCTCTTAGTTCTTCTAGACTGTGCATATTTCTTTAGAATCACTTTGGTTTCAAATCAGTTAATCGTTTTACTGAAAAAAGTGATATTCAGCAAATGAAACCTTTCTGGACTTCTTAGGGCTCTACTAAAACTTAATATAACAACTATTTACCTGAGGCGTTCCCAACTGTCTTTCTTTTAACTGCCTCTCTAATAATAATAGAAATAATAACCCTACTGCAACCACGAAAGCCCTAACCTAAATGTTTACTAAGAAACCCATCGACATAACCTTAATCATTATGTCGGTGAAGCAACCTCAATTTTCATCAAATTCTTCTTCTTATAATTCAGCTTTTTTGGTTCTGTTTCCTGCAATATGGCTTGCCAGCAACTTCATCTTGAATATGAAATAATGTAATGTGAAACCACCACCATTGTGGTTTTACTGAAAAACTGGAACACGGTTTCCTGAAAAGGGCTAAACAAAATGACAAAATATCAAACGATGATTTTGTTGTGGTAGGAGTGACAATTGGCAGAGTAGTTCTTTGTGATTTAAATCTTCATACAGCACTGTTTTAAAATCTGTTTTTCCGTTAATCAGCTGTCGCCCCCATACGAATGACAACTCTCAGAAGTTGAGAAACTTGTGCAAGCTAAGGACTAACGAGGTCTTACCTTTTAACGTGTGATTCCTAACTCTGTACTGATATAGTTATTAATTGAGCACAAATGCGAAAGGTACTAAACGGTAAGAATTTTGTGCGCAACCAGGAAGCGAAACGCAAATCGGCCATGGTTCATTCTGTACTTTTTTGTTAGTTAGGGCACAGAATATCGGAACTTATTTCAATGTTGGAAGAGCTTGAGCAAACAGTTTTCCGTGTTTTTTTTTTGGATTTATATTTTTTATCAAAATGTTTTTCACAAAGTCGATAACATTTATGCCAAGATTGCCAAGTGTTCATGGTTTTTACAAATATTTCATGCTTTCGCTCATTTCCCAGATCTGAAAGAATGAATGCTCAAGCAAGAAATTCTTCGAACATTCTAGACGCAAAATGACAATTTAAACCAAGTACAAAATCTTACTTCAGACACACAGTTTTAAAAAAATATGAAGAACTATGCCTCTTTCATAGTACCATTCAGTGTCACTGACTCTTATGAGAATAAGTGGTTGAGAACCAAAGCCATATTTTATTCATATACCTGATACATACTACTCACTGTGTGTTTCGGAAAGGTAAACAAACTAATTCCTTCTTAGTTACATCTGAAAGAACATCCACGATAAACACACACAGTACCACCCAGTGGCGTAACAGATTTTTTCGGGCCCCCCCGCAAACCTATTTTCCGGCCCTCACTAGTTATTTTTGAACAACTGATATACAAAATCAAACAGTTTCTTCATATAGATAAGGGTCGCATGAAATAGTGTATTTACTGTTTTGATTATAAAATTATATCACAAACATACGCCACCTTCAAATAAGCAGGGAATAACAGGAAATTAAGTGTTAAAATGTCGTAAGTTTGACCATTGCGACTAGCAGGTAGCTTCGCGGCTTTGATTGGCTCTCTACTATAACAAAAACGCCCTTTTGTATTTGTATTATCTTGGGAATAGGATTTTATTGCTCTATTGACAACTTTCTCTTCGCCTACATTCATCCCACAGTGTTTTCAGTTATTTCATTGCCCCATCATAATCAATATCAGTGAATGTAAAAAAATTGTTTTCAAACTAATTACCTTATTGTTTTAATGCGTATGGGAATGTTTTATATCAAAAAGAGGCTTGGTGTTTTGTTCATAACACATTTTTTAAATAATTTACTGGGTTAGTTAGTTTTTGAAAATGGTAATAATTAACTCGTACACCAAAAGTGGATTTGATTCAAAGATTTTCGTACTGTTATCACAGGCTAAAATACTGCATTTTTGTAAATTTTTTCTTTGTATGAATTTCAATCGTTGACGTACATTACAAATATATACCTTTGGTAACGATGATCTTGAGGTAAAATAAGATATAGAAACACGAAACAGAACATAAAGTACTGTAATATCTACTGGCCAACAGGCCAGAGCATGTCGTCCTTAGTATACTCTCACCAAATTGCCAGAACAGGATTCTACCGCGCTCGCAAAGTTATCCGCCACCGTCGCCAATCAAGAATTTTCGATGCCATTTCAGAATTATTGTTAGAAAATAAGTAAAGTAATCAAGACAACTACATTTCACTACCTGGTGCTTAGGTAAAGACGTAAACATTTATATTATAAATGTAACCGTGACAAGTATCATTTATATTAAATATTAAATGGCGGCTGCGTTCGAGCAATATGGCTTTTCTTCGCTTGTGTAGTTACGATATTCTGTGGTGAGGGTCAAATCTTTAATCCAATTTGAAGCACTTGTCCTCAACAGATTTACTTTGACATTTTTAATTGTTTGGATTATTAGCTAAGTGACGCCACTCTACAACAACTAACATAGCGGACTAGTTTTTCATGCATTTTCATGATATGAGTATCAAATAAAGGGTTTGATAAAGGAATAAGAAAAATAATATGACGTAACTAGCGGACTAGTTATTTTATGCACTCCATGATACGAGTATCACAGTATCACATGAAAGGGTTTGCTGAAAAGAATACAAAAAATAACACGACGTTAAAACTGAATCCAAAATGGCGAACCAGCCAAGATGGAAGACTTGTTTTCTTATGCACTCCCATGATATAGATGTCAAATGAAAGGATTCATATGAGAAAAAAAGTCAAAACGGAGGGAAACAAGATGCCCGACAAACCAATTTGGAGGAATTATAATTCGATAAAGTTTAGGGATAGTATGGTGATGCGCGAAAAAAATTTTATATACCGTCCTAGCATGCAACAATGAGCAATCAATGATGAAAAAAATAAATTAATATTGAAAAAATCAAATATAAGCTTTCATTTGACGACTCCAAAAAATATATGAGATTTGAATTAAATTAAACCTATCAATTTACTGCATTACACATGTTATATAATATAAAAATTTGTCAACCACCTTCAAACGTATAAAAACTTGTCACGAGATTTACTTGCATAAAAAAGATTCTACCATAATTCTAAGAATTTTTTTAAGACTGACAAAACCATAATAAAACAGCAACTGTTTCGATTTCGACCGAATAAAAATACTACATCTAATTTGATTCTAACATAGTTCTGAGAAAAAAATGTTTTTTACAATTAAATCTCATGACAAGTATTAAGGCGGAACTTCCACCAAACGGACAAAACCACAACGAAACAGCATCTGTGTCTCGACAAAACAAAAACTTGAGTTGTCAAAATAAGAAACATTTTGGACTCTGTGTCGCGGGCGACAGTTTTTGTCAACAATGAAATGTCCCGTCGGCAGGCAGAAAGATCAAAAGGTTTCTGTGTTTTGTCTGTGTTTTTCAAACAGAGTTCGATATGTGGAAACGGTCGACAACAACAAACAACTATTCAGTTCACTATTTTGTTATGGTGTGTGACTTCATGCGACATTTTATCTGTATTTAAAGTGTTAATCTGTGGTGGGTATAAATTTGGATTATCGGCACTAGGCAAAGTCTTCTTATTAATTTGTTGATTATTTCAAACAAGAATGAAATTTGTAGAACATGAGCGAAAAAAAACAATGGACAGTTGAAGAATGTAGCAATTTAATTGAAATCTATCGAAAGCACCCAAACTTATGGAACACTTCGCATATAGATTACAAAAATCGAATGAAGAAATATGATTCTCTGAAGGAAATAGCACAACAGTTTGAAACGAAGCATGAGGAAATTGAAAGAAAAATGAAAAATTTGATTAGCCAATATCAACGAGAAAGAAGAAATTACAAAAAATTAAAGAAGTTGGGAGCTGGACACACTTTCAAGGCAAAATGGTTTGGTTATTCGGCAATGTGTTTTTTACACGACAAAAACAAACCTATTGAAGGGAGCCAAAGCGAATTGGATTTTGAGGTGAGTTTTCAGTATTCCTATTAAAAAAAAAGTTAGGGCGAAGTAGAAAAAAATTTGCATATGTCCTTTGTCTCAAAAAACAGAAAATATGTTTTATTCATAACAATTGCTTTTTTACAATATTAAGCATATTATAATTACCAGAAAACTTGTCCTATTTCTGATATGAAATATTTGCTAGACTTGTCCCTCACTTTTGTAGTATCCTGCAAGGATTTTCTTTCAATGGGCAATAGTGACTGAATTGATTTCCTATTGTTCCTTCACTATCCTGGAATGACTGTTCTGGTATATAAATCTTTCATATCAAATGAATCTGGTAGATTAAATGTATCCTTTACGTCAACATTACGGCGCAAATTTTGTTTGAAAAACAGATGCTAATATTCCGAACACTTTTTCTCTTGTGGCCCTGCTCAGGCAATAGTTGAAATATCGTTGTTTTTATCCTCGATCCTGGTGTTCTGTTTATGGTTTCATGATATTAGTTGCCAACGGAAATGCAGCATCTACTACTGCAGATGTACATTTTTCTCGTGTCCTGGCAGCTGCATAACTTCAGGTAAATTAACTACTAAATTTTTCAATGCTTTGGCAAATTCAGTGCTTTTGAAAACTCCACCATGTGATATCCGGTCTTGGCAGCCCAAATAAGCATAAATAAAATTATAGTTCACATCAACTCCAGCAAATAAAACAATACTGAACGTTTCTTTATGGTTAAAGAACTCAGACCCACTGAATATTGATGATTGGATAACAATGTTTGCTGTCAATTTTACCCATTTTTCGAATGTCTTTATTGCTTAAAACCATTGAAAAATATTTATACATACAATTCACTACTGAGCAGATTACTGATTAAATTACATTTATTATTGATAGCACGATTACTTTTTATTTTTGACATGCTGTATCTTGAAAATAAGGCCTTTGCAGAACCATATTTATAATAAATTTGCAGCTTGAAATAAATTACTCTATCGTGTATCAATATCTTGCTACTACAAAAAGGACTATCTGTTAATTAATACTAAATTTATTATTTCAGGATAGCAACCCATCATGCAGTGAAGACAGTAATGCCAATGAGAGTCAAATGTGTGAATTGAGATGTAATGCCAATGAGAATCACCTGCGTGAATTGGATGGTAATGTTTTGTTTGTTAAGATAGAAAACCAGGAACAGCAGTCCGAGCTTCTGGAGTTGCAAGAAACTGAACCAATTACAACACCAACCACAACACAAGAGGATACAAAAAAACGACCAGTAAAACAACATTTATATTCTGCTCCAAAAACTGATAAGAAAAGTTCCAATCTAGTAGATACTGATGATACGAGTACTCCTGCTAGCGAAGCCTTTCAAATGATGAAATTCCTGTACCAGAAAACCCAGACACTCAAAACACGTGACAGATACTCAATATTAGGTGAACTAGTAGAAGATACAATACGTAACTTGAAAACAGATTTTTCAAAGGCTACAGTTGAACATCAAATACATAATATTTTATACGAGGCCCAAATTGGAAAATATGATTTTCCACAATAATCTTCTGTTACATCTTATTCAATTGCGACTTCGTCTTCTATTAGCACTTCATCAGCATCTCCTCATCCTGTAGAAACTAATACATAGTTCATGTGAAACATAAAATTTTTAAATTACTTGTAGATTTAATGTACTTACCTTAACATACTCCTGTAGAACCTCACAAAGAGCATCACATACCCACTTCTGGCACAAATTGTGATATTGAAGAACTGGACACTTCAAACAAATACATTAAGCTTTCAAAATTATCACCAGTAGCTAAAAATCTTAAGGTTCAAATCAAATCAAAACATACTTTATCGTCCAAAGAGTTGCATCTTATTGACAAAGTCCAAGAAATACAATGTAGATATATAAAAAGTTATAACAAAGTAAAAATGTAGATATATAAAAAGTTATAACAAAGTAAAAATGTAGATATAAAAAATGTATCTGTTTTTCCGTTTATCAGCTGTCGCTCTCATACGAAAGACAACTCTCAGAAGTTTAAAAACTTGTGCGAGCTAAGGACTAACGAGGTCTTACCTTCCAATCACGGTATAAATGTAAATACAAAAAACAGTTTAAAAAATGTATAGATAAAACACCACCATGTATAAAGTGATAGTACAAAGAATAAATCGTTAATTTATTATTAAAAAGATTCGCTAAAATACTCTTCCATACTATAATAGGGTCTATCAACAAGTAGGTTCTTCACCGCCTTTTTGAAATAAATGTTGCCTAGATTTGCAGATTTCATTTCTAATGGTAAATGATTGAACGACTTGCCACCATTAAAGTATATGGAGTCCTTGATTAAATTTGAAATTGGGTTGGGACGTCTAAAGGTATAATTGCTATTACGAGTAGCATAAGGAGTAGAGGCAAAGTTGAACTTTGAATTAATGTTTATAAATTTAAGGCAAACTGCCTCTAGGATAAAAAGTGCGATGACTGTTGAAAATTTTATTTGCAGTGAACAAGTTCCTGCGCGATTCTCTGGGTTTTACTTTACAGAGAAATCTTAGTGCCCTCTTCTGTAATTTCAATACAGAAGAGAGAAGGAGTGAGTTCCATGCTCCCCAAAACGGTGTTCCATAACGTAGTCGAGATTCAATAAGTGCATAGTAAACGGTATTTGCAATATGGAAGCCCAACTCATTTGAAATCACTCTAACTGCATAACATCCGGAGGAGGTTTTACTCTTGAGTTGTTGTTCATCAAATTTCAGCTTATCATCAATGAATATACCGAGAAATTTTGTGTTTAATTCATTTCGAATATAGCAGCGTCTATTGGAATTTCATAAAGCGAACATTTGACTGATATTATATTCGTTTTTGATGCATGAGAGAGTAAATTTGCATTGCACCAGCTCTTCACCTTCTTCAAGTCGGATGATATCATTCCACCATATTGTAGTATCATCCTTGAATAGAGTGAAACTACCAAATATGTTAATCATAGAAATGTCATTCATATATAGCAGAAATAAAATAGGGCCTAACACAGAACCCTGTGTCAATCGATCTTTTACAGATATAGTATCTCTATAATTTGTATTCTGTTTGCAAATTTTTGGTTTTAGTACATTTAACAAGTTCTCAAATTTGTGATTGGACATTTTTAAAAAATCATGAAACAATCTCAGTTCTCTATTCGTTCCTATGTTATCTTTCATCAAATCTCTCATAATTTTTCCATCCCATAATCTATTCGTCTTCATAACCAATTACCTCATCCAGTATCTTTTCTTTTCGCTCAAAAGATTCGAATATAAAAATAACACAGACCATTATAAAATTATTGTCCGGAGAACGTATGATGAGATCTATGTGATGGAATCGGTCAGTAGTTAATGAAAATCCATAAAGTATTCAAGAAACACATTATTGTCAGATTTCCACCAAACAGCTTTACAAAATTGCAACACGTGTTTCACTATACAATAGCTTCTTCAGGCGTGTATATACACACATTATAGACACGCCTGAGAAAGCTATTGCATAAAACACATGTTGCATTTTTTTGTGAAACGCTCAAAATAAAGTATTTTGTGTATATGATGAAAACTGTTCGTGTAGTGGAAACGACAGAAAACATTTCACAACAGACTCAGACTAGTTTTCGTCTGTTTGGTGGAATTTGAGTTTGTTTCCGAAACTAAAACAAGTTTTTTGTTTGTTTTTGAAAACAACTTTCATTTTGAAAATACAAATTTATTAGAGCTGAAAGAAATTTTGTAAGAAAAAAAAACAAAAATGCAACGGGCACTGACGAAATTTCAGTGAAATTTAAAAAACCTTTCCGATTCCGCTTTGATTACATCAGTAATGATTAATAAAACGGCTCTTGTAATTCCTCTTTTCAAAGGCGGTAATGCAGAAGATCCAAATAACTTTCGACCTATCTCCAACACTCTCAAAAATCATAGAAAAACTTGTAAAAAAAGGAGTATTAGCTTTTCTTTATAAATACAATATATTAACCAACTGTCAGTTTGGCTTTCAGAATGCAAAAGGCACAAATGACACAATCTTTTCTTTTCTTAAACATGTCTACACACATCTCAACAATGGTGAAGTCGTAGCTGCAGTATTCTGCGACTTCTCCAAAGCTTTTATTGTGTAAATCATGAACTTCTTTTGCAAAAGTTGGACTGCTATGCCTTTAGAGGAGTGTGTAATGACTGGTTCAGGTCTTACATAAGTGATAGAAAACAGTTAGTGAGATCAAATGAAAAACTATCACAAACTGAGGATATCTTATGGGGCCTTCCACAAGGATCAGTCCTGGGCCCGATTCTTTTCCTCATGTATGTAAATGGCCTCGTTACTCTTTCAATTCAAGGAATTTTTATGATCTTTGCGGATTACATCAAGCTCCTTTGACATGGAAAAAATACTTCAAATATGAAAGATACTATCTCTAATGATTTAGAAGTTGTAAAAAATGGTATGATGCAAACTACTTGTGCTTTAATGTCAAAAAAACATTCTTACTCACCTTCGGCTGTAATATTAACAATTTATACTTGAATGGACAAATAAAATAAAAATGGGGATTTTGAAGTCAACAATTTTTTCATTCAGTGTTTGTTTTGATAAAGAGAGCAGTTATATGCAAGGTGGGAGTGCAAACCATTATTTTCAAGAGAAAAAATTCACAGTTACTTGTATTTTCCAGGCAAGTAACAAGAAAATAAAATACACTTCCTGCTCCAAAAACAAGTCAAAGTTTTTTTTCTGATTGGAAACAAGTCAAAGTATTCTTTTGATTTCTGTTTCTGGATATTGGTGCTTTTTAAATTGTTTCTTTTTTTATTATTAAAAGTGCTATAACAGATTTTTTAACAAGCTTTCTCGATAAGATGGTATTTTCTTGGACAATAAAGAATATATCTATATCTCTATCATGTCAAAAGTAAAATTATAGTTTATTTTATAATATTCAATAGGGAAATATAATAAATATTTACAAAATCCAAAATAAGAATAACAGTAACATACAAATATATATGCAACAATTTGATCGAAGCAATACAAAAATTAGTACCTTATCCATAGTTTCAAGTACAATTTTCAGCAAAAGAAAGTGAAGCCATTCATGCCAATAAAATGATAAAAGCTATGAAACTAACGAAGATAAATATTGAAAAAAGTTCTGGGTTATGTTTGAATTCACTCAAAATTCATTATTTACGAAATTATTCTCAAAAAGGGGAGATTCATAAATGTAACTTAAAAGATGGAAAACAAATTATATTTGAATAAAAACCGTTTCACACAATTTTAAATAAACCCTCCAGCTCCTTGTGAGATTTTTGCAACTTCTCTGTACTTTATCAAAACCTCTTCGTTAGTATTTTGACTTATTGGCTATGAATAAAATGAAAAAGAAATGAAAGAGTTCGCAAGAATAAATATTTTTAGGCAAAAAAACGCCAAATTCAAATATTCCGATGTCAAGTTTAGAACAAAAAAAGAAAAACTCTTCAAAAATTCAAATGAAATATTGAAGAACATTGAATTTGGGTGTTTTAACCATTATCTTATAACAATATAAATCAGTGCATATTATAAAAATATCTTTAGAGAAATTATTCATCAGCCTTTTCGGGAGAGATCTCTTTCTTCCATTCTTCTTCCAATTTTTCCGATTTTTCAACATTTTCTATTTGTTCATCACCAGCACCGTTTTCTTTATGCCCTTCATTTTCTTCTTGGTGTTCTTCCTTTTTTTCTTGGTGCTCTTCCTCTTCTTCTTGATTCTCTCCCGTTTCTTCCTGGTGTTCTTTTGATTCTACAGAATTAATCTCATCTACCTTGTTTTCATCTACTTGTTGATTAGGCACTTTGTTTTCTTTCAATTCCTCCGTTTCCACTTCATGTTCCTGAGTTTCTACATCTCCATTCTTTAGATTTATTTCAGCAGTCGAAATTTGTTCTTTAGTGAAATCGCTGGCTTCCAACTTCAGAAATTTTTCCATTTCATCAATTTCATTGGCCATGTCAAACATATCATAATCCTATAAAAGTAAAAGACAAGTAATCAATTTCTAGCAATGAATTCTATAGAACTGAAATATATATAAAATTTTAAAATTCACAGAATTGAAGATATGTATCAATTTAATAAATTGCTTGGTCAAAGTATTTTGAACATTAATTGTATTTTGACCTCAAAATTATACAGATTACATTACCACATTTACATGATCATGTAAATTTGACATTCGCAATGTCAGAAAGTTTTTTCTATGAAATAGTAAACTTTATTGAAATACCGTTTGTAGTGGCAAATATAGTTTTCTTTCTGATACTGTTTTATACTTCAACCTCTCAAAAGTTTTTGACACGGTAAACCATAAAAAACTTTTTAACAAACTAGAAGATTACGGTATAAGTGTAAGTCATAGGCTCATCGAGTCTTACGTATCGTTCACAAGCTGTTGTATCATAAATGAAAAAGACCAATACCGATCTGTCCAGCAAAGCTAGTATACTAGGTACTCCAAGGGTCAATTTTTGGACCCCTACCATTCTTATTATATGTGAATGATATGTCTCAAGCATTGAAACTTGGTAGTACATATCAGTTTGCTCATGACACATCGGTTGTTGTTACAGGAAATAATATGTTGGAACTTTCAACAAAAGCTTCAACTGTCTCACAAAGCATGAGCATGTGGTATGAAAAAAAAATGCCCAAGTTAAATGTTGAAAAAAACGGGCATAATAACTTTCAGTAAAAGAAACAACTCTGATAAATCCCCATATGTGAAACTCAAATGCAAATTGATTCCAACTTCAGATCATATAAAGTTCCTGGGTGTTACACTAGATCTGACCTTCAGCTGGGAATCACACATAAACATCTTAAATAGTGTAGTTATACGGTATTTACGAGACTAAGTATCTGTCAGTTGTTTGAGAACATATTACTATGCTTATATTCAGTCAATTATTTCCTATGGGATTATATTTTGGGGCTCTTAATCAAGATTGGATCTTAACATTTCATGTAGGACATACTTTTCTGAACTACATCTTGACAGAGCAATATTGCCCTTCCTGGGCCTTGTCAACTTTGTAAAGAAATATCCCCACAAACGCTGATTAATATTCTGTGAATATGAACCTCAACAGTAGGCATCGAAATGAGCTATCTGTCCATTACCATAAATCAACTTATTATGAGAAAGGTCCACACTATCAAGCAATCAACGCATATACCACACTTCCTCAAGTACTGAAAGATATTGCAGGCCTGAAGAAGTTCAGAAGTTGTGTCATAAGTTACTTAAAGCAGAAATGCTATCATTATTTTAATTGTTGGATGTAAAAAACATGTAAACATGTTAAAATTAGTTTTAGATGCTCTTTCAATTGTTTGATGCAACAAACATGTATGTATTTGGGAATTAGTTTTCAGGCTTTCAAATTCATATGTATTTTTAATTTTTGCCTTTGTATTCCACTCCTGTTTTTATATTTCAAGATTTTGTACTGTACCTCAATATTTTGATATTTACATCCTCCATAATTTATAGATTTGTAAATACATTTCGCCTTGTTTTTAAACCCTGACGTTTGCTGTGTTCTGTGTTGATCGTTTTGCAATAAAAGTATTATTATTATGACCTTCGTAATAGTAATAATGCCATAAATTCAGAGAAAAAATGGGATTGCACCAGAATTTTTTTTTTTAGTTTTTTCAAGTGATGTTTACATTTTAATGATTTGAAAAGTGTTTGCATATGTTACTAATATTTTCCCAACTGATTTCATTCATCAAAAGCTGCTTTCTCATCAAGTCAAGCAGGCAGTGAAGTCTTCTTTAACATTGAATAACAAACTTTTGAATCACAGCAAAGTTTTGTAATTTTCATGTCATTAAATTATTACACCACTTAGTAGGGTTCACATGACTAAATTAATCCAGCATCACCATGCAAATCCTCTTTTCAAAGCGTTTAGCATTATTAAATTAATCTGATAATCAGCTGTTAAAATCCTCCTTTAAAATGCTGTTTACGCGATGCATGAGCTCATTTGTGAAAAGATTCAAGAAATAATGAATTACATTTTCTCTCTATTCATCTACCTCTTTAATCTGACATGATTCTCTCTACATATTGTTTTTACCTATTTGCTTATCTCTCTGTCTCTTCAACTTATCGTCTCTCACTCTATATTTTACTGCCTCAATATTGCCCTTTCTCTATTCCTTGAAAGTTTCTATCTTTTACTCTCAATATATCTTTCCCTCTGCTGCTCTGTCCTGACTCTATCTACTTCTCTTGCCCCACTACTATCTCTCTACTTGTCTCATATTGGCCTTCATATTTTATTCTGTCTGTCCTCTCTCTTTTGCAGCTCTCTTATTTCTCTTTTTCTTTTGTCTACCTCTCACTCTTTTACTCACCCTCTCTATCCCTCATTCCTCTCTTTTCTAGCTCACCTCCTACTACAGATTTCTCATCTGAACCAAATGAATTTCTTCATACACAGTAAAATATATTTGCCAAAAGCGGAAGAAAAAAAACAATAAAATAAGAAGAACAAGAAATATACAGATTAATAAAAATGAATCACATTTGGCTTATCTCCCATGACATAAAAATATTTTGAGACTAATTCTGAAATCAATCAAATCTCCCTGAAAACAACTTCTATCTCCTGTAATTTTGAAAACTTTATTAGGGAATTGAAGGTTTCATAAAGATTTCATGATTTTATTGAAAAACATGAGCAATCACAAATCTTCTGGTTAGTTTTTATTTTAGTTTAGTCATCAATATAGTGTACTTGTGATGCATGTGATTGGAAACTTTGGTTTACTAATGAATATTACTGGAGTTCTATCTGAACACCAAAAGATACCTCTCTAGGTACCTGTATCTCAAATGTCTTAAAATTAATTTCACAATGTTGCCTTATCTGTTGGGATAGAACTCCAGTAACATTCATCAATATATGGGGTAAATAATTTTAAAAGATGAGGTAGATAATATAATTTTCAAAATTGGAATTGAAAAAACATTTTTCCAATTCAAAGAAGACTTTTATCAACAGACATTTAAAATGACAATGAACTCTTCCCAATTACTAACTTTGAATAATATTTTCAAAATTCATCAGAACGGTCCAAAGATGGAACGGTCCATAAAAGATGACTTACATTTGGGTAATAAGGAATCGTTTTATATTATAGCAAATAATTTTCCAGATATCATCCAATAACAACATAACAAAATGTTGAAGAAGTACCTATAGATATGTATTTATTATATATAAATGAGTAATGTTTGATTTGTTTTTAAAGTAATTTTTTCACTTCATGTATTCAAATGCATAATAAAGAAGACTTATTTGTTATTCTGATACCTTTTATTGTACTTATCTAGTAAATTGTGGAATATTGCTTAAACTGAAAATCACTAAATTACAGATGCAATGAAATGAAATTGGAGTGTTTCATTTCTACTTGTACAGACACAAAATCACATGTTGCATGAAGAAAATTACATAAATGTAAAATGGCCTAAAGTTGACTATAACCCAGATAACAAACACATCCCTAAAAATTCTCCAAACCGTGAAGAACCAACCATAAAATTCATATAAGAGAGACAGGAAAGTATACTCAATTCCCTTTTCTCATACTAATGGAAATTTCAATAAACTATCTTGATAGTGATTTTTATTGAAATAAAACTCACACGAATTACAATATCTCGTCCTGTACACTTATCTTAAGAACAAAGTGATTTTGTAATAGTTAATTGAGTTTAACTAACAAATTTACATTTTTAAACAAACTTTGAAATATTCAACAAAATATTTAACCAATACAGCAGTACCATTATGAATTTGTACTATAAAACAAATCATCTAACGTGAAAAAATTGTACCAAGTAGATGTGATTATGATAGAACTAACGCAGTTCACCATTTCATTCAGGATTTAGAAGAGAAAATACCATTATTAAATCAGTTTTGTCTATCAACCTAAAACACCTAAGTGTATGCCAGAGCTAACAATAAGAGTAAATGAGAAAAAGACATGGGATCAGTTGGTATAATTAGAGATCAATTTGTGAAATCGTTTAATAGGTTTAGATTATAGCCCGTTACTCACCCCACAGTACACATCATTATTGAAAATCTGAGGAGGTAGAGGATGTCTTGGGTTGGGGTCGCTAATGGTCCCTCCTTGACCGGTTGAGTTCGTTTGCATAAAATCTTTAGCTTCTTCAGCTCCTGGTTCGGCAATATCAATGACTTCATACTTGACATTCTTAGAATCTAGGATCAAAAGCACCCTTTGTTGTCGTTTCTTCACCTTCAGAAAAAAAAATTAAAAAGGCATAACTAATTAACAGTAATTTTTACCTCTTTATTTCCAGATATACCACTAATATAAACTTTAATCACCATTTTGGGTTATGAGCTCAATTTTATAATAAAAAAATCTAATTAAAATAATACTATTTGACAATGACAGATAACTTGAGAGAATTAGTGACACTCCTATTTTGTCCAGGGCCCAGAGTTTTTCTGAGTAATGTCAATTTTCCTACTGATCCATCACAGAATAAGATAAACAGAAACGATACTCTTTCACTAATTTTTATATGAAAAACTATAATGTTTTTATTACATAACTTCCCAAGGTTATGTGATAGAATTGGCCGATACTCGATGAAAATCCATAAGGTATTCAAGTAAACGTTATTGTGGGATTTTCACTAGTAATACCACAAGAGGTCAAATTATTTCCGGAAATTTTTTCGAGTTCATCACGAGGGTGATAACTGCAGTTATCACCCGAAGACGATTGTGGATACTAACAATCGAAACGTCGTGAAGTAATTTGGTTTGGAATCTTTTAATTTTTATTTTCATTTCTTGTTAATAATTTTTTAATTTTCATTTTTTGTTTGTTGCTTGTATTTTATTTCACTGTAATTTCAGTTTTTTTTCTTTTGTTTTTTTGCTCAATATAATTGTTATTTTTCAGCTAACCTTTTTAATTTCTTTTACAGATTCTTTCAGGGATTTCAAATCACTTTATATCATATTCGACAATGGAAGTCCGAACTGATGAAATTCAAGTATTATTGTTTGTCTGGCAAAACTAATGACAGTAACCCCTTTTTCCTTTTATCCATCTGAAACATCTTTCGGACATGGTTTTGAAATCATTTCGAAATTTGACAGATTTGACATCATCAACAAAATATAAAAAAAATATTTATAAACAAATTGAAATAATTTCACGTCAAAATGTCACTTTACTGATTGAATTAAATTGTAAGCGTTTTATGCGTATGAGATGTGAGCTATCTTCAACATGAAATCATTTCTTAAAGGTTATTATTACAAAATGAAAATGGTTTTTCGTCATGTCCATTGGTTTTTTGGTGTCCACCTGATGACACTCGATTACTTGTTATTGATGCCAACTTATGATTTTGAATTAATAGAAAACTGTAGTACGAAATATAATGTGTAATACCGAATATATTATGGATTTGCTTTATTATTGTTTTTGTATTTGATTTAGTACTTTTTTCGTTTGCTCTCTAGTACTTTTTTTAAATGATTGCGAAAACACTGAGCCTAACCACAAAAAATGCTATAGGCACAGTAGAAATAGCTATACTGTGATATAGGCTCAATCTAAAGTAAAATAAAATAGTCCAACAAAAATCATCTATAGATTTTGGTAATTTCTAGAGGTTCAGTATTTAATCTCAAAATAAATTCAATTATCTTTGACAAGATTCGAATATGACCCGGATAAGTAGTGAAGGAAGACATCTGTGATTTTCTGCTAACAATTGATCTAAGAAAAATAAGTATGGTTAGTTTGAATAAATCTTTCCTTTATGGCATATGTTTTGCTTCTTTAACATGGATGATTTCTTTGTATTTATACTTCCAAATATCAAATAGTGACGCCAATGGTTGGGGGTATTTAACTACTCCTCAAGAAAAGTCAACATCTTTCCCATGGGTTAACTCAAATTTTGGTTTTTTTCGCCAAACAACCAATTTCAACAGCGATAAATTACTGGAGAAACTGAAACCTTTTATTTCTACACCAATTAGTGAAAATAAGTTTGAACAAGGTATGATGAATATTTTAGAAGACCAGAACTTGTATTAGTGATTTCAGAATTGATGGATTTGGGAATGGTGAAAAATGAAGAAGATAAAGAGATCAGAGAGACAGGTTACAAAATTCATGCTTATAATGTGCTGATTAGTAATCGTCTTGGCCTCAACCGTAGTATACCAGATACTAGAAATTCTTTGTGGGTTTTGATTGACTGAAGTTTAATGTTACAAACTGGTTGTAATCAAATATTTTCAGGTGTGCAAACAGAACATATCAAAGCAGCCTTCCTAAAGCAAGCATAATTGTATGTTTTTATAATGAACACTACCAAACTTTGCTTAGAACAATACACTCTATTCTGAATAGAACTCCTAGCCACTTACTAGAAGAAGTTATTTTAGTTGATGATCAAAGTGATGTAGACAATATACATGATGACATTAAGAACTACATCACACAACATTCATTATCTAAGGTTAAGTTATTCAAACCAGATAGCAGGCAAGGATTGATTCGTGCCAGACTTTTTGGATTCAGGAAAGCTCAAGGGGAAGTAAGTTGGGACAAATTATTTTAAAACGTTTTGTACCAGATGTGTCAAACTATTGTTTGAAACAAGCAGAAACATCTTCACTAATTTCTTTCCAGGTTCTAATCTTCTTGGACAGTCACATAGAAGTTAACATAGGCTGGATTGAACCACTACTAGATAGAATAAGAGAAAATAGAACAAACGTAGCTATGCCTATCATTGATATTATCAACCCAGACACTTTTGCATATTCATCAAGCCCATTAGTGAGAGGTGGATTCAATTGGGGTCTGCATTTTAAATGGGATAATCTACCGAGAGGTTAGTTAGCTCTGTAGATAATTCTTCAAACTGTTTGGTAAAGAATTTGCTTCTGAATAGAACTTGTGAATTCAGTAAAATACAAAGCCTCTAACTGCAAGTTAATTTTAAAGACTAGTACTTGAAATATTCATTTTGTTTTTTTTTGTAATCCAAAGTATATCTTGTCAAATTCTGGGAAAGAAATATTGAAATATTCAAGAAATATTCACTCAAAATGAAAAATTATGCATGTATAAATTGAAAATGTTCCAAATGTATACCCAAACCTTTGCAAATAGTTTAACATGATTTACTTTATTTCCTGTCAAGTACGTACTTGCTACTTTTTTATCAATAATGTTTAAAATGTCTTCTCTGTTTACTTCTAAAAACACTATAACTTCTGAAATATAATGATTCTGATGTGCCTTCTGTTTGAATTTTATTATTTGGTTTTTACAAAAAAATGAAAACTGAATGGCTGTGAAAGAAATTCTATTTCTCCAACAAAAAAATGCAGGAATATTCCAAACTAAGGAAGAAACCAATTATTTCAAAAAATTAACTCCATACAAAGATGTGTAGATCATACAAAGAAGTAAAATTTAGACACAAACTTGAAGAAAAAACCCTCTGGAAACAACTACTTTCACATAAACATTGAATTACACAAAAGAAAAATTACTTTCTAAACCACTATTTTTATATAACAACATAACATTGGGTGATCTACACATCTTTTTGAAGAGTTTATTTTGAAATCAATTGTAGAAAGCCAAAAATTTTTTTACCCAAAAATTATTCTATCCTAAAAATATACCCCTTTCAATTTGATTGGCTGCATTTTCAAATTAATAGTGTAACAAGGATATTTCAGGTACTTTAAATACAAAAGGGGATTTCATCAAGCCAATAAAATCACCTACAATGGCAGGTGGTTTGTTTGCCATTGACAAAAAATTCTTCATTGATATTGGTGAATATGACGCTGGAATGAATATTTGGGGAGGAGAAAATTTAGAAATATCTTTTAGGGTATGTAAAAAATTTAAGAGCATGTTGTATAATCCATTTGAATTTTTTCATATAGTTCAAACACCCCATTCAATGTTAAAATTATCATTTCTACTACTACTACTACTACTAAGCTGGGCTGCTTCCAACATGAATCTTGTAGTGTAATTACCCCACAGTACTGATTGTAGTAGAGTCTATTGAATTTGTATGATACCTTTATTATTGATTTTTGAGATTAAAATTGTTTGGATCTTTATATTATATTCATTTTTTTTTCATTTTGAAAGATATTCAAAGACTGTTGAACGTTTTATCATAATAATTATGAAAACAATTATGAACTGATCATCAAATTGAAAATTTTCTAATCAATAAACTAAAATATTCAAAACAACTTGGTATAAAGAATAAAGTAACTTGATTTTTAATTGACCAATATCAAGTGCCAATACTCAATTATTTTAGATCTGGATGTGTGGGGGCACATTAGAACTAATACCGTGTAGCAGAGTCGGCCATATATTTAGGCATAGAAGACCATATGGTTCTCCTGATGGTGAGGATACAATGTTATACAATTCTCTGAGGGTTGCCCATGTATGGATGGATGATTATAAGGTATGCAGAATTTTATTTTTCAAAATCTGCAGTGAATGAATTCAAGTATCCACAAATTGTTTGTTTTATATGATGATTAATATTTATTTCTCAGTGTCTTCATCATGAGATGAACCAGACTGATTCTAAACCACACCTATTCATATCTAAAGGGTACACTTAAAGGTCACTTCTAGTCACACATCAATGATTTCTTGGATACAAGTTAGCGGGAGATTTTCTTATGAAAGACAGTATTCATTTATTCTATGGTGGATATCCACCATAGGTGGCCTCTTTTATATATCCCCGAATTTTAATTTTCCAACATCTTGTCTTCAGGGCCACTTTGTATCCCAGAAATTATTGATTTGTAAATAACATTTAAACATCCAACTCTGTTGGATGTGAATAGGTGAGATTTAGAGTTGGGAATTGGTTCAGTTGAATCTCTTTAAGACGCCAACTTGTTTGGTCAAACGCGCGTCGAGAAGTGTGTTGCAATTCTGATGTTTGGAAGCAGTATTTGTTTTGGATTCAGTCTGTTTTTTCAATTGAGATAATTATCATTATCACCAGGATTATTTTCTCAATCAACGACCTGATGCAAAAAATAAGGACTATGGTGATATTTCTTCTCGACAACAACTGCGTAAAGAACTGAAATGTTACGACTTTGACTGGTACCTCAAAAATGTCTATCCAGAGCTCATTCTTCCCAATGATAATGAGTCGCGTCTCAAAAAAAAGTGGTCAGCCATCGAACAGGACAATTTCCAACCATGGCATTCAAGAAAAAGGAACTACATTGACCAGTACCAGTTAAGAATGTCAAATAGTTCACTGTGCATACAGAGTGAGAAGGATTACAAAACTAAAGGCAGTCTTTTGGTGTTGAGGTAAGCCTAAAGTTACATTTTAATTGCTGTTCAATAAGGAAATAAATCAATCCAAGAGGATGCTATTGGTTTTTTTTACTTAAAAAATAAATGTTGAGTATTTTTATAAGCCGAGCAACATTTTCAGCATAGATTATTAGCAGCTTTCAGACCCTGCATGAAAGTCAAAAACTAAACTTGGTATAAAACAGACAGACGTGAAACAGTTTTGGGGAATTTATTTTGGCCTCTGATTAGTTTACAGGTTTTATTCAGGATTGTTCTATTGTGCAATTACTCCAAACTCGAAAGTTCACCACTTTCTTCTGTTATTGAGGAAAATTTAACTATGGGAAGATGGTGTAGGAAATAAAACTTCTAGACATTTTCAGTTCCATCCTTTAAATGAGTGAATGATTTTAATAAAAAATCTCTCTATAGATTTTCAAACTAATTATGATTTCAGGCCCTGTATGAGAATCAAAAACCAAGTATGGTATGAAACGGACAGGAATGAACTAGTTTTGGGGCATTTACTTTGTTTGCAGTCGGGAAAAATATCTCCCATCTTATATAAATGTCACGAAATGGCTGGCGATCAGGAGTGGAAACACAAAGGAGGGGTGAGTGCTTATTTTTATCTTAGAAGGAAATGTATTTTTGCTTGATTATACAACATCGTCATTTTCGTATATACTTTCGACTCCAAAAATTTTATCTGTGAATTTTTTTTGACATATTAGTATTGATTAGTACTGAAAAATTCAATCATATTGTTGTAACTGTTCTTTTCTTAGCGAAGAAACAGAGAAGTAAACCAGATACTAAGGATTGATTTATCAGATGCCTAGTCATAGAGAAATTGCTCAATTTTGGCTAATTATAATCAGCTAAAAGAGACTAGAGCACTAGAGCACGAAACTAGAGCACACAAACAAAGCACTAATAATTCAACATGAGAAAACACTTTCGACCTGCCATAGATCTCATCAGTGGTGCTAGGCTGGTGCTAGCTTTTATGGTAAAGATATCAGAGACAAAATCATCAATGGTCGCTTGTAAGGCATCATCTTTAAAGAAAGTTGGAAGATCATAAACAAAAATAATAACATCAAAGACATATGGCCTGCTTTATTTGCAAGTCATAGTATCAACATTTAGTCAGCAAACTATTATGTCAGTCATAATAAAAAGCTATTGAAATTTCAAACATTGAAAACCCCTTTCTGATTCAAATTTCATTTCGAATGTTTTACATGAAAATGGTCATTTAGATTCTTTAATTTCATTAATTTTTTTGTTTTTGTACGAGCCTGTAGCTTTCGTAAGCATAGAATGCTACTGAACACTGATTCATATAATAGTATACATACTATTACTGTTATTCTTTTGTATTTGTGCAGATTCACTCTCACTATTCATGTTGTGAACTAATAGTTAGAATCAAACAGTGAATAAAAATGTGCATGAGCAATAAAATTATACCTATGATTCCACTAAACCATCACATCTATTATGCTATCAATTATGATAATTACTTTGAAAAGGTTATAATATTTGAACTAAAAATTTCATGCTGAATGTTCAGTTGATCATATACCGATTAGGAAATTGAACGAATTCCTTAAATTAACATTTCACTTCATCAAGCTTTTTGTTTTTCTTGTTTCAGAAGGAAACGCCAATTTACAATTTGGCAGCTGGTACTTGTTTAGGAGTAGAGCAAAAGGCTGTTAACGCAATGATACAGATGATGTTGTGCACAGATTCAAATTTAACTAAGTGGGATCTAGTGAGGTGAAGCTAGTCAGCTTTTGATAATGGAACATACAATCATTTCGAATGAGACTGAAAAACAAACTATAATTTGCAACGTCCACTATTAGCTTTAATGAGATATATTTTTTATTCATAATGATAATATATAAGATAACGAATGATCTAGACCTAGTACTACTGCAAGATATATACATTTACGTTTTTCCGGGTTTCATTCCATGTTCTGTGTTTTTGATCCTCACAAGGATCATTTTCACAATGTTTCGGCAAAGTATCTTTTGCCATCTTCTGGTGATGTCTGGATTTCTGTCTGGATGTCTGGAATAACTCGTTAACTAATGGGGTGTTGATTATTTCTTTGGAAGTTTATTTGTTAATACTTGGCACTGTAACGTCACATGATTCTAAACACTAGTAAACTGATAGACCATATACAGTTTTCTATTGAAAGATTTGTTTTAAATTTCATAAGCGTCAGCGGTACAGCTCACACTGAAGTGTTTTTCTATGAAAATCATTTTGATGTAAGTTTCAATAATATTAATTTTTAATTGATTATCTATCTTCATTTCTCAAAAATCAATTTTTCCTAGAAAAACACCCCTTTCAATTTAAATTAAAGTAAGAATTTTGAGAAACATTTGTATGGTAACAGAGATTTGTATTGCTTTATTTCAGTTTTTTACACTGCTTAACTACAGCAGTTTTCTTTCAAGTCTCCAGAAAAAACTGCAGCCGTATGGGCTTATTGCATTTTCCCTCATCTTTTTTCAACATTCTTGTTCTTTGTAATGGTTTATACAGGTCCCTTGTTGAATGTTTGTCATACTCATATTCCTCTGAACATAATTGGGGTTCTCCATAAATTCATAAATCGTTTGCTTCTTGATCCACTGCTTCATTTTCACATAAAATATAACAAATTGTCTGTCCTTTTATTGCACATCCTGCAGCTAAGGTTTCTATTGTTCAGCCCTGTTTTATTCAGGTATTCTCTCAATGGACAATACCCAGTGAGTAGTCCTGGAATTTTTCTAAGCCTGTCTCTGCTATGTTGAATTGGATCTTCAGTTTCCATCCAGAGTGATACTTTCATAAAGGTTTTCTCATTCGTGTCCTCAGGTATATTTTTCTAGTAATCTTCATGTTTTTTATAAACCCACTTAACAATCTGGTTCCGTAAGAAAGTTTTTGGTGCACCTACAGCTGGTTTAGGGCCACACTTATCAGCTTTTTCATCATCTATGACATCCGAGTGTCTTTATATTCAGTATAGAGTCAATATATTCTTGTCTGCAAGTGTCCTCAGTTTTTAAGGCATTCCCAGACCAGTCTTAACGTCACTTTTGGATTTATCAGTTCCCCACATGCAACCTGACTGCAGAAATATCTATCCGCTCATTTCGCTATTTCTCTTGTGCATAGCAAGATTGCACACACTTCAGTGGATAACTGAAATGTATTTTTCTCTCTGCAAAGTAAATTCCAGCTCCTGTCACATGTTCGATTATTGACCTGTCTACACCAAGTATTTCTGCCTAGCATGTTCTTACGATGACTGTTCAATCTTTCCACTTTGAATTGGCCCTCATGCTTTACATTATTAAGGATTAGTAGTATTTCAGTTAGATCAGCTAATGTATTACTCATTTGGAGGTCTTCATATTTCCAAATACAACAGAACAGAAGATGAAGTGACGGAAATGGTTATCATATCAATTATTGATAAATTAGATTGACTTGAGAGTGACTAAATTAGTTAATTTTTTCAATTCATTGAAAAATATTGTTTTTTGGGAATCGGTTGCATAATTATATTCTTATTTAAACACAGTGAACATTCCTTATATACAGTTCTGCAGTTAATTTTTCCCATGGAAGTGGGATTAACCCCAAATATTCATTGTGAAGTCATATAGTATTGTTAATATTTCTAGTTTTATTACTATTCAAATACTATTTAATGCACACTACTTTTCGATAGATTGATTTTGTGAAATAGTCAAAATAATGTTTCTTATTATTTTTTTGGGTATATAATCTTCCACAATCTGTTAAGGTTTATATTTTCGTTTTCAACCTCTCTTCTTAGTAATGGCAACCAGAGAGTATTTTCTTTAAATAATGAATCATATTGAGTGATGTCTTGATCATTTAGAAAGAACAAAAACCCGGCTAGTAAACTGTAGTGAAATGGAACTTGTTATAATCGTGTTCATGAGGAAGACCCAGCAATATGATTAAACACCATTTTATCAATAAATATAAATCACATACATAACAGTGATATAGAAGTAACTTAATTGTCAAAAAATATTGGTCGGTCGGTAGCCAGGCGGTTCGACGCGGGTGCTTTGTTCACTCACTCGAAATGACTGCCGTGTTGGTCGGTGGTTCAAGCCCTAGTCTGAACGATCGATTTTCACTTGCTATCGTCCAACCCGTGTTAGGAATCACACGTTAAAAGGAAAGACCTCGTTAATCCTCAGCTCGCACAAGTTTCGACTTCTGAGGGTTGTCGTTCGTAGGGGTGCGACAGCTGGTTAACGGAAAAAAAGATTTTTAAACAGATCTACCGAACTAACTCATCAGAATTCAGGAGAAAACGTAAGGTCTAGTTACAAGACAGCAATGGAAACGCTGAAGTCACTCATCAGACAAAAAAGGGTTTTCAATACTTGTCGAACAAAATGTTTCATCTACTACTGCGGCAGACATCTTCAGTAGTATTCCGTAGTCAACCATTATTCGTGTTCTCTAATCGTGACTCCGGATGAGAAAGACTATGTTCTTATATTATTGATTATTTGTTCAATGCATTACGGGTATATGGAACACTTAGAATAGTATGAAATACATTTGAGGCCAGTCATAAATGTGTATTAGAAACATTCTTCGACTTGTTTATATCCAAAATCAATCCCAGGTTCATGACAATATTGATTATTAGATTTTATTTATGTTGTAATTTGTAGGAAATCGAACTGTTAACACTATTGAACCGAATTTTAATCATCAACATCAAATGATATATTATCAACATAACACCCTAAATCAACAACCATTTTCAAGGAATCATTAAAAACGACATCTATCAAATAAAGTGAACATGACTTTTTGTAAGTGTCTAAGTTGATATATTGTGTTTAAATTGAAAAGGTTGAAACAATACCATATTTTAATGACATGGTTGTTTATGAAAATGACATTATTTTAACATGTAATAATCAAATTTGACACTTCAGTACTATGAATGCTATTTTCTTATAAACTTTTATTCGTGTTGATGTATCTGATTTACTGGTAGAATAAGTTATGAATCAAATGTGCCAAATCGTAGAGTATGTTAATTACCTTATTGAATCTGTCATTTTTACTCAGTAGTTTAAATTTATTTTTCCTAGTGTAGTTTCTTGCAGTAGAACTAATAATATTCTAATTCAAGCAGGTGATTGGTTATGAATCTCATTACTTTGAAATTAATTTATATTTATGTATAAACTTTATATTTTTCATTTGTAATATTTTATTTCACAAGTGTTGTTATGAGGTGATGGTTCATTTCTATACATCAGGATATTACTTCAAGTTTATTTGAGTACCTTTTAATTTAATAAAATAAATGTTTTTTTGTTTCACTTTAGTTATCATTTATCCCAACCATTACATGTAATTTTCTTTTTCCCTTGCCTCTCTAGCTTGTAAATCTGTAGAATTATAATTAGTAGTATTTGATGAAGCGCAAATTACATTGATACTGGTAGCAAAAATTGTTTTGAAAGAAATAACTGCACGGTAGTTGAGAGAGGCAGTCACTCCTTTGTTTTGCAGACCACGGTCTCCAAGTAAAAACGAACGGCCGTTGAAACACTGGAAAACAGTTGCGGATTTTCTAGCTCGAGAATTGAATTTTTGAGCATACACACTGTCACAGTAGCGGATCGTATATGACTATTTTTTTTTCAAGGACAAAACACAAGCATTACAGGAAAATCCTTAGGGCGCTCTCAGAGCGGTGCCTGTGCGAAAGTAGCAATTCACATTGGATTTGAATTACTGGAGATTAAGTCCATTTGGAAAAACGTTCTCAGGAAGTTTATTCCACATAAACGTAGGTCTCCAGAAGAAAGAGTTCCTAAATAGTGAAGTTCGAGGTGTACTGAGTGTAACCTCAAAACGATGAGCAGCCACAGTCTATCGCGAATTTCTGATACGAGTATGTGCCGCTCTTGTGGAATCAAATGTGCCAAGTCACTTGAACACTACTCGTGAAAGTATCTATAGAAAAGAGACAAATCTCCAACCTTTCTTTGCTGTTCCAGGATATCAAGGTTGCATGTGCTGTTCGTGTCTCCAATCAGGCGGATGGCTCTTTTCTGAATGGAATCCATCAACTTCAGGGTATGTTTAGGGGCAGAGCTCCATACCTGAGAACAATACTCTAAAAGTCTGATCTGAGCTTTATGAAGTATCGAAAGTTGCTGAGTTGTGTACAGTTTTCTGGTTCGGAACAGTGTTCCTCTCCTTTTCCTGTGTCACCTCAACTGCAAGTGTGTGTGAATATTCAAAATTGAAATACCATTACCTAAAAATAATCTCTTCTGAAAATTTACCCCTTTCATTAGAAACTATGAATAGGTTTTTGATTACACCAGTCAATATAAAGTATTAGGAACCACACGTTAAAAGGCCAGACCTCGTCAATCATTTTCTCATACAAGTTTCGGCTTCTGAGGGTTGTCGTCCGTAGAGGAGCAACAGAATATGCAATAAAAATAAAAGAAAATAATTAAAATAATACCAAGCTAATACTGACAGTAAATTGATATGTTGAAAATATTGCCTGTGAACATTTTTTGCTAAGGCAAGGACGAAGATAGAAATTAAATGCAGGTTTGGATTTTAAATTGAGGTATATATATATTTTTCAAATCCAGTAAACTAAATCGGTTAAAAATATGTTTTATTTACAATATATACAATAAACTAAAAAGTAAGCTCCCTCTCTCAAAATAAAATGGTCAATAATAGGTTTTACATGAAGTCTAACACTTATCAGAATACAAAAATTGGTAGCAACGAAAGTTCAATATTTTTACCTTGCTCTAATCATATTTTTGCCTATTTTATGAATGAATGAAATTGCTTAAATAATATTTGAAAGATTAATTGTAAGAATTTTTTTATAGCGAACAAATTCAAATAGAAAATTCTATTAAATTCATTTAATATTCTGATAACATGCTCAACTGTTACACATACAAGTTTTTAAAATGTATATAGTCATTTAACATTGTTTATGTGAATAAACAGTTGAAAGCAATCCAAAAATAAGTTTTCTTCACCTAAAGAAGCCAATTTGGCTGGTGAAACGCGCGTCAAGAAGAGTATTGAAATTCTGGTGATTGGGTTTGTTTTTGGATTGATTCTACGCCAGAGGTACCAGTTTTACCTTTTATTTGTTGAAAACAAGTTGATTTTCAATGGGAAAGTGCTATTAAATCGCTCAGTGTCACTGTTTTTCGAGTTTGAAAGCCGTGGATTTTTGAAATTTCTTCCTGACGTTTCGATGGTGTGAGTGGCTAGCTTCTTCAGAGGTTTTAACCATCATGGCTTGCTGTCCCATGACTAACTTTTAGGCTTCGTAAAGCGCATTTATGCCATGTCAGGTAATCAGTTGTATTGGTACCTGTATTTGTACCTGTACTTGAACCTGGAACATTAACAATCTTGCTGTCTGTTGTCATTCTGTTCGTTATTCTCGAATTCTTTAAAATGGGGTTCCATATTCGTTTGAGGTTCACCGCTTCTTCTTTTCTATTGAAATTATCCGTGTGTTTGTGGATCTCTGTGATACCTCCTGAACCAGTCGGCTACAGTATCCCTAGTTGGGGGCAATTAGTTCTGTGTTTTCACAAAATTATGTGGTCTCCTTCACTAAGCGCGTATTCTGCCACAGCTGACTTGTCCGCTTGGCCTAGTCTGCAGTTCCTTTTATGCTATTTCAGTCTTGTTCCCATGGATCGTTTGATGGTTCCGATATATACCTTCCCACAAGTGCACGGTATGCGATAGACCCCTGCTGCTGATAATGGGTCTCTTTTTCTTTAACCGACCTGACGCTTTGTTGTATCTTCCTCGTGGGTTTGAAGACTGTTTCGATGTCGTGTTTATCCAATAGTTTTCCAATTCTCTCCGTGACCCTAGGGATAAACGGTAGATATGCGCGTGCAACCATCTGATCCTTTTTCGCTTTTTGAACCGTGGTACTCTTTGTATTCATGGCTTTCCTGATCTTGGAGGCACTGTATCCATTCGATCTCAAGGTCACTTCAAGGTATTTCAGTTCCCTCTCCAGATGTTCTGGTTCACATTCTCCGAGCCGTTTCCGGCTCGGAGAATGTGAACCACCAGGATGGTGGTTCGATAGTGCGTGCAATGCAAAAGGAGCCCCATTTTCAGGAAATCGAGATGAACGAACAGAATGACAAGGCATAAATACGCTTTAAGAAGCCTCAAAGTTAGTCATCGGACAGCAAGCCATGATGGTTAAACCTCTGAAGAAGCTAGCCACTCGCGCCAGCGAAACGTCAGGAAGAAATTCCAAAAATTCATGACACAGAAAACCTCAGCCGCGAAAGTCTAAACCATTTTATTAAGTCGCTGTTCGTAACTACTTCATGGATGTGAGGCTTTGGCCAAATCTCCCAGCAGTCTGTCAATGGCTACATCTCCAACGGTCTGCTTGAAGAGCAACTCTTCCAATCCTCTTCTACTAACCGACTGCACAGCCGGTAGAGTCAACAGAAGTTTACCGAATCTCCCTTTGGGATGGATCTGCCTATGTGCGCAGTATTCATGCAGCATGACGTGTGTTTGATCTTGAAGGAGTTCTACGTGGGTCGGTTCGCACAATCCTCTGCTTTCTGCAATATTTTGAGATGGTCAGTCAGTGTATGGAAGAAGAAAAATTGGTTATTATAATAAAATAATGTATTACCTACATTTGGAGCTTTCGGAAGTTGCATTTTTACCAGAAGGAAAAGTTCGGGCATTTCTCTTCTCGCGATTATCATAACGGATATACCGCACCGATATTTACGAGGTGAAAGAACATAGTGGATGCATTTTTGGCATTTTTTAGGAAAAGTGCACATAACAGGATACATTTTTGATATTTGCAAGGGAGAAGAACGTATAATGGTCCAAACTTTGGTTATTTGTGAGAGAAAAGGAAATTAAGGATTGGTATTTACTATAGGAAAAAGAGTATAATGCTCTTAATTTTTCTAAAGAAATGAACTTTAAACGTTCAAGCCACTCTCGGATATACCTACACAGTAGGTTGAACGGACTGACGCCTATCAAAAAACAACTACTCCCCTGGCTAATACCACGAAGGGCGTTGGATTATATTCCGACAGGCGTCAGTGCATGAATCTTCACAGAAAATGTCCTGCATATGTAATTGGCAATACAAGTGAAAGAGTCGACCTTCAATTTTGGAACGGGCACATTTGCAGACCGGTTTCCTGCACTGACGCCTGTCGGAAATAATCCAACGCCCTTCGTGGTATTAGCCAGGGGAGTAGTTGTTTTCTGATAGGCGTTAGTCCATTTAGCTTACTGTGTAGGTATATCCGAGACTGGCTTGAACATTTAAAAGTTCATTTCTTTAGATTTGTTTACTGCCAGTCTTCAAGCATAGCCCACTGACTAATAAGTAAGTTTTTCTTCCTTATTCAGAGGAATCGGGCGAATTTCGGATATGCAGTTGGTTAGTACCTCGCCCACTAGATGGAATGACATTTTGTTGTTCGCTCCAACTTAGGAAGAGGAATGAAATACTCTAAAAGAATTCCGATTTTCAATTATGGAATATCATTGACTTTAGGTCAATGATGGCCACTATCTTGCACTGACGAGTGGCTAATGAGCACGAAACCGGTCTGCAAGTGTGCCCGTTCCAAAATTGAATGTCGACTCTTTCAGTTGTATTGCCAATTGCATATGCAGGAAATTTTCTGTGAAGATTCCTGCACTGACGCCTATTGGATATAATCCAACGCCCTTCGTAGTATTAGCCAGGGGAGTAGTTGTTTTCTGATAGGCGTCAGTCCATTCAACCTACTGTGTAGGTATATCCGAGACTGACTTGAACTTTTAAAGTTCATTTCTTTAGATTTGTTCACTGCCAGTCTTCAAGCATAGCCCACTGACTAATAAGAAAACTCTTTATTTTTATTATTAGAGAAAAGGACGTGATGTGCGAAATTTTTGTTATTGGTTAGAAAAAATAACATAACGTCCAGGATTTTTGATATCTACGATGAAAAATGGTAAATGGGCCGAGTTTTCAAAATAAAAGAGATAAAGCTCTGCATTTTTGGTATTCGCGAAGAAGAGTATAGTGAACTAATTTTTTTCTTTCATAATCAGCTGAATTTTTTATATTTGCTAGGAAAAAGAATATAGTGGACTAAATTTTCGGTGTGTTATAATCTATAAGGAAGACTGGTCCGTGGAAATATTAAAGAGATTTCATGATGGTTTTTTTCCATTTTTTGGTCAATATTATAATACAATATTCGAAATGGAAAAAATTAATTAATAGTTTCACTGCATTATCAAATGAAAAATTCTGTCTGATTCTCTTCCAAAAAAATGTTCTGACTGAGAAAATTTTCTTACATGTTAGTTATATAAATAGATATTCGTAAATCATTACCAGTATTATATAAGAATTTAATTAGTTTGGACTTCCATTGTCTGATATTATATAATGATTTGAACTCCCTGAAAAAACTAAAAATGAATTATAAATTAATAGCTAAAAAAAAACAAATATTGAGCTAAAAAACCTGAATTGAAATAATAATGAAATAAAATAGAAATACTTATATTTCATTTCAGGTTTTTTTCTAAATATAATTTTTTTTTCAGCTATTCATTTTTAATTCTTTTTTAGTTCTTTCAGTGATTTCAAATCATTTTATATAATATCGGACAATGGAAGTCCGAACTAATGAAATCCACATGAAACTTTGTCAATCACCTTCAAACAAAAGTATTATATAGGTAAGCTCTTATAGATAATTGGCATGGAATTCGACATGTAACAGAACTATTTGAATCTGTTATATCATACATCTAGGTTTCTCTTGTTTTCTACTATAATAATAAATATTCATTAGGTTAGGAATATTACTATTCATTGAAACACAATTTACTGAGAATTTTTATACCATTTATTTATCAAGTTTAGGTTTTTTGAATAATATTTTCAGGATTGTATTTTGAGATATTTGGAGGGTATTGAGAGAATTGTTAAATGTACCACCCCAGGCAGCAATATAGTATCTTATCTTCTGCTAAAGACTGGTATATGGTGATCATATTTTTGTATGCCAAAATGTTTCTCAATTCATAGAATTTTTGAAAGTCTGAGCCGTTTTACAACATAGTTTATGTGGTCATCCCACCTCATATGCCGATCCACTATAACTCCCAGATACTTAATCATTTTCGTTCTTTCTATAACAGCACAATTATATCAGCACAAAAATATCATGACTTGTTAGAAAATAAAGTTTTTTTTCGGTATACAGCAAAATTTATTTTTATTCAAGCATTTCGAGTGAATCAACTAAAAATATATGAAAAATATTTCTTTCTCAAGGTTGAATTTTGTTCAACTCAATGGTTCAATGCTGGATGTAACGTTTCAATGAAAATAGGTATCACTTTCCTTTTATGGTGAAAATGAAAGTGATACATATTTACCCCACAGTTTGCTTCAACTTTTCAAATTCAGTCTTTATAGAAGTCTTCAAAGTGTTTTACCTGCTTTGAATAAGACTAGTGCTTTCAAACATGCGTGTTCTGTATGATCTACTCTTAACATGTTAAGCCTTGTAATGATCTCCTTCAGTTTTCTTGCGTCTTCTTCCAGTGTTGTCTGCCTTGTGTTGGGAGCTACTGTATTTCCAAGTAAAATTCCTAGAAAAATACTAACATAAAAATGTATTCTCAAGTAAAATGAAATTTAAGAAATACAGGGTGTTTCAAATTCGATTCTTACCATTGGGATCTCGGAAACTATGCGAGATACGAAGATGATTAAATTGGCGCAAAGTTGCGCATTCACCTGACTAACAGTATGCCGTTGAGAAAGTTCTGAAATTTCGAGTACCTATATCTGGTGGTATCCGGAAAAAACAGAGATTTCGGAAAATGGTTTTTATATTTTTCTGGCTTCATTTTTCGAAGGATTCGAAAATGAATTGCATTTACACATTGCCACTTTTTCCCTGCTACATAATGGTGTTTCCAGATCTGCTATCCGACGTTTCGTCTTCCGGTCACCGTCATCAACTTTATTTTTTCTTACGGGCGCTACATTGGCTGCTTTCTGTTTTGAATAGAACCAGAATTTACCTTTTCAATGGTGTATCATAAGTTATCATTCTTTTTCGAAAAGAATAGGATAGAATAGAATTTATGCATCATTAAAATATACACATATAACATATTCATTACTGGTACAATATTTATCAGACTAGTCACACAAACTGAAGAAAAGCAGCTTATACATTCAAATCTAAAAATTCTTCGACATTGTAAAGGGTATTTACTAGAGAAGATCTATTGAAGCTTTTTTGAATGTATTTTAATTTTCAATATTTCCTAGTAACCTAGTTGCTTTGTTATAACATATGACTCCTTGATAGCTTGCCGAGTCTTGCCCAAGGGCTAATCGTGAGTAAGGTAGTCTCATTTCATTTCCTCTGCGAGTATTGTGATCATGTATCACATGTATTATTCTTTTGATATTCATAGTTATGAGCAAAATATATAAAGACGGTAGTGTTAAAATAGCTAGATCTTTAAAAACTGTCTTGCATGATTGTCTATAATGTATGCCAGCTATACATCTAATTATTTTTTTTGGATAACAATCACTTTTGTTAGGTATACTGAGTTTCCCCAGAATATCAACCTATTTGAGATATTAGATTGTACTAATCCGAAATAGGACAATTTGAGTACTTCTAGAGATACTGTTCCGTATAGTTGTCTTATTATGGAGCAGACTCTACTCAGTTTTGTTATTAGATAAACTGTGTGTTTTCGCCAAGTTAACTTCTGATCAATCACTAATCCTAGATACTTATAATGATTCACCTGCTCTATAGATCTGTGATGTATTTTTATTAGTGAACAATTATCATTAGTAAGATTCTTTTGTTGATAATTCATGAAAACAGTTTTATTTACATTAACAAGTAGACCGTTATTTGTGCACCATTGTAAAAATTCTTCAGCAGTTTTATTTGCAGCTTGAATAAAGAGGAGAAGTTCATTTTCTGCTGCATATATTATTGTTTTTTGTGGAGGTACACATGAATTTTCAATATTACTCATAAATATTATAAGGAGAAGCGGAGCCAATGTTGACTCTTATGTAACTCCTAATGAGACAGAAGCTGGTTGTGATTTTATTTCATCTATTACCACTATTTGCGACCTTTGACATAAATATGATGCTACCCATTCATTGGCTACTCCTTTTATTCCCATTCTATACAGTTTCTCAAGTAATAAACTGTGGTCAACTGTATCGAATGCCTGGGCTAGATCAAAGAATAAACCAATTGGAAAATTTTTATCATTGAGGTTTTTGTAGATGTCACACATTTCGAATATGGCAGATGATGTTGATTTTTGCTGTCTAAAACCATGTTGACATTCTGGTATGAAAAATTGGAGATATTGAAAAAAATTAATTCTTATCATAATAGAATTTGACTTCTATATCTTGATATTTCTAAATTTGACTTTCAATTTGTTACACTCAGTGACATTTCGTTATTGCACAAGTCATTGAATTTTTGGCGAAAAATGGCTTTCACGAATGAAGAAAAAAGAGATACGATACAAATTTTTTACAAATACGATAGAAACAGTGTTAGGACATCGAAAATGTATTTAAACTTGTATCCCAAAAGACGACAACCACATCGAACAATGTTCAAGTTATTGGATCAAAATCTCACCGAATTTGGTTCATTTGAAAAGCCGAGGAAAAATACGGAGACAGAATCAACAATCAAAATTTGATAAATGAGGTGTGTATGAAAATAGAACTTTGAACAAATAACAATAATTAACTAAAATGTAAAGGCGAAAGTAAATCACAGCAAATGCTCAAAATGCTGATCTTGTTCATGATAACACAACTTTGCCCTTCTTCGAATATTATTCACTACACGATTAATTTCCCTCTTCCTCAATCTTCCGAACTCTCTAACAATGCTGTGTTGAAGGTCCTCAATATTTTGATATTTCCTCGGACCATAAACTCTATTTTTCAGTGTACCCCATAAGAATGTATCCATAACACTTAAGTCTGGAGACCTTGCTGGCCACCTCACCGGCTCATTATTCCCTATGCATTTATCACCAAACCTTCCAGTCAGGTAATTAGTTACTCATCTGGTAGTGCGCGGGGGAGCACCATCATGTTGAAACCAAATGTTATAATAAGCAAAAAAAAGATCATCCAAATAGTCTTTGAAAATCGACATTAAAAACTGGTGATAGGTTTCTCCATTCAGAATTCCGTCAAATAAATGAGGACCCAAAATTCTATCATTGTAAATACCTGCCCACACGTTAAATACTAAATCGCACTTGAGGTCGAATTTCTCGGAACTGCCTGGGGTTGTTTATGCTCCAAATGTGTTCGTTATTTCGGTTGAATATCCCACAATTCTTAAAAGTGCTTTCATCTGCCCAAATTACATTTTCCAGGAAAACAGGAAAATCAGGTCTTCTTATTAGCCAATTACAAAATTCTAATCACGTTTCGTGATCACCTGGATGCAATTTTTGAGATATATGTATTTTGTAACATTTTAAACCGCTTTTTTTGAGATCTCTCCAAGCACTTGTATGACAAATATTCATTTCGGGGGAAATTTGACGTGCAGATATTTGTAATACATTTGTATCATATCTCTTTTTCTTTTTGGGAAAGAAAGTTTTTGGCTTTCTACTACTCCATCTTGATACAAAAAAAAAGAAGGATGAGGGAGTCTTCCAAAGAAAGGAAGGAAGTAACTCTATACATGGATGTGTAGATCATGCAAAGAAGTAACTTTCAGACACAAACTGAAAATACATGGATGTGTAGATCATGCAAAGAAGTAACTTTCAGACACAAACTTCATTTGTAAAAGCCATTTTTCGCCAAAAATTCAATGACTTGCAATGTACAGTAACAAAATGTCATTAAGTGTAAAAAATTGAAAGTCAAATTTAGAAACATCAAAGTCAAAGCCTATTATGATAAGAATTAATTTTTTTCAATATCTCCAATTTTTCGAAAAAGAATGATAACTTATGATACATTATTGAAAAGGTAAAATTTGGTTCTATTCAAAACAGAAAGAATCCAATGTAGCGCCCATATGAAAAAATAAAGTTGATGATGGTGGCCGGAAGACGAAACGTCGAATAGCAAATCTGAAATCATCATTATGAAGCACAGAAAAAGTGGCAATGTGGAAGTGCAATTTATTTTCGAATCCTTCGAAAATTGAGCCAGAAAAAAATAAAAACCATTTTCCGTAGTTTCTGTTTTTTTCCGGATATCTCCGGATATACTTGGAATTTCAGAACTTTTTCAACGGCATATTGTTAGTCAGGTAAATGCGCAACTTTGTCCTAATTCAACCATCTTCGTATCTCTCATAGTTTCCGAGATCCCAATGGTTAGAATCGAATTTGAAACACCCTGTATATTTATGTTTAATTTTTTGAATTTGTACAGTTCAGTGTTGCCACCTAACTTCAGAGTCAGAGTTCAAATTTATTATGAAACTTAGCAATAGTTACTTTCAGTTAAAGTAAATGAAATACTCGAATACCTTCATCCACAGGAAAAGCCCATTGTGCGGCGGTCAATACAAAGAGTTCATTCCAGCTTTCTTCCAATAAAATGGACTGGTCTCTATATGAAAGCTGCGAAAAAGGTTTAAATTTAGTAATTTTTGACCAGTAAACGAAATTTATACAAATATGTAATTGCCTACCTGCAAAAATGATGGTATCGTTCTCGCCCATTTGATTGCCAAAAATAAGAGTTTTGCTGCTGATTCGTATATATTCTCAGGTGGAAATAAACTCAGGCAAGGTACCTCCATTTGCCTGATCGATCTACATGACTCGTTAAGAATTGGCAATTCCAGGCGTGCAGTTGATTCATCTGGCAAGACAACTGCAAAATTTGAGAAATTGAATTTCTAACGAAGTATATAACGCGAAAGTAATGAGTAGTTGAAATTGTATTACCTACTGTTATGTAAATTTTCGTACTTACCGTCTTCTGATGGCTTCTTGTGAGCAATTTCCTCGGAACTTGACACTTCGTCATCCGTATTTCCATGTCGTGGTGATATCGTTGAATTCAATAAACTTCCATGGTACTTTTGTGCGTTGTAGGGTATGTCTGGAAATAGGATGCAAATAATTGAGACGAATTCACATAATTAGTGCTTTCAATGTTAAGCCAAAACATTGGTTAATTTTTCGGGCCGTTTCGGCAGTACTTTGGTTCAATTTGAGTTCCAAATATCTCTATATTCATTTACAGGACTCGACAAAAACTTTATCTTACTATGCTACTCTCAGAATGATATTGTTGCGAAATTAAAACGCATAATATTGTTTTCTTTGATCAACCCTTTATTACTGTCCTAGCATCAATAAGCAACGCTCTTCACCCCTTTATTTTCTTTCAATGATTTTTTAAACAATTAAATTGTTGTATCAGACCATTTACTTCATGTAGGATATTTATTTCGAGTCAAAAGGCACCTATTTTTGATGCATTTTGAATAATTGAACCGCAGAGTTGTTATGAGTGAAAAAGATTTCATATGTTAGGTGTAGGTAATTATCCTCAAGGTAAAATTAAAAAACAGGAGGAATTATGTGCATTTTTGTACTTTACTCTCAGATGACACCTCGCGATTTTTCTCATATGCTTACTCTATTTGTTCTGAATATAATGGTTTATTTCTTTATTGTTTATTTTATTGTTATTATTACTATTTTTTTCCTAAAGGTTAGTGCGGATCGTGTCCTGACCCGAAGCTCCGGATCACCCCCCACACTGTGAGGTAGGTGAGCGATCTTTAGATATGAGACTCATGTACCCTGGTCGGACCTTTACCGAGGACGTATTTGAGAAGGCGCCGCGGAGTTCGAACAGATTTTTATTTTTCTATAAAAGAGTAAGGGGGCGTTCATAAATTACGTGAGGTGTTTAAGGGAGGGAGGGGGTCGAGTCAAATCTCATCTAATCTTACGTTGGAGAGAGGGGAGGTCCCGGCGAATATCACGCAATTTTTTTTCTGATTGAGACAAAAAAATATACTATTTTGGTCCATTTAATCCAGATTGTACATGCTTAAGATTTAATCTTAAGCGTAATCGTAAAACGATTAAGATCATTCACTAATTCGTTCGAAAGAAAATAATTTCATTCATACTTCGACGTTATACATCTACTGACTGTCAAACTACCATATTTGTTTTTTACCAAATAAGCTCAATTTAATTTAAATTTACGGTACAGTGTAGCCCGAAAATCATATGGACATGTTAGTTCCAATACACCGCGCATGATTCTCCATGGACTGAATTAGAGTAGATATTCTTTTTTTAAACACAGTAGTTACAATTTAAGTATTCTATTGTTAAATTTTTATTACACTTATAATTAAACTCTCAGCAATATTGATTACTAGTCTTAACTAGTCGTAAATAAAAGCACGAAGCAATTTTTTTTTCTTTTTACAATAACCATCCAACGTGTTTACGTAAGAAACCCACATTTTGAAAAATCTCACGTGAGATTGGGGGATGGGGGAGGAGGTTGGGTAAAATATCACGACAACTCACCAGGGGGGGAGGGAGGGACAGAAATTTAAAAAAAAAACACCTCACGTAATTTGTGGACGCCCCCTAAGCTGGTTGGGTACTGTCCCTGACGCGCCAGCATGATCGAACAACGACCACCCTTCACACTGTGGGGCAAGTGATCATGGGGTCCAAGAATCATGCTCTGTGAGCAGACGAAATGAGTCAAGAATGACAGCCTCCTGAAGATGCGATTTTCTGTTAACTTTACAGTCTCCATTCAGTATCAATATGTCGGGGAAAATACAACTGTGGAACGGACGATTTATGATGCATCATTTTTAGGGTCTTCATAACGAGTTGATACAGTTCCTCCCGAGTCCACTTCACCACTCCAAATGAGTAGTGTAAGATTGGAACGGCGATCATATTCGTAGGAAAAACTTTGTTTATTCCCGACAGTTCCAGTTCCAGATCTGCCGGAGTTTGTGCCTATACTTTTGCCGCGAGTTCTTCACTGCTGTTACCTCTTGTAAGTGGCATTGTTCCATCCCGATAAAAGTATACAGCATCCAGATGGTTCAGGGTGCTTTCATGTATGAGCTGTACATCATCTCCGTAATCCCCGGATCGTCTTCTTTTGAGGTGGACTATTGCATGTTTCTCTATCCCGAATTTCATACGGATAGCTTGCGTGTACTCTTCCACCACCCTGAAGGACTGATGAAGATCCTTCTCTCCAAAGGCATAAAGTTTAAGATCATCCATATAAAATAGATGGCAACAAACAAGTGACCTCAAAACTCTGGTTTCAGGGGTGCCACAGGTATAACCTCTCCAGCGATGAGTTTAAAACTCTGACCAGAAGGCGGTGTGTCCTGGTAGTTTTTTTCACCAGTATCTAAGTGTTCAGCCCATCAGAGCCTGCATCAGCAAAGTTCTTGGAACTAACAAGGACACTTCGAACGTCATCCGGGGTTATCGGGTTCTTCAGTTCATTGAGCTCAGGTTGTCGAAGCTTTCTGCTGAAATCTTCGAACTGAACTAGGTTTGGAGGGTCTGAGTTGAGTGGCTGCGGGTGTTAGGATTCCACCTGATCAGCGGTCCACGGATTATCCATAATTCGTGGAGGCTTTTGGAATAAGCGAGATTATTTCTTCTTCTCATTATTATTATCATTATTATTATTACCACCGTTTCTTTAATACATTCTGGAGTTGAAAATTTGCAAATGAAATGAAAATTTTGAAGATATTTAGGCCCGCTATGTCTCCTTGCCTGTGCCTTGAATCAAATTTGTAAACCTATAATCTTTTATTCAAATTCCTTACTTATTCCTGTATGTTTTCCGAATCCACCCATCATCCCTGGATAGATGAGTCCCTGGTGGAAATACTGCCCCGGTATCTGGGACATTGCGGGATCCAGTAAGGGTGGACTCTGAAGATGGACAGGAATACTTCCGAAGGCCGAAACACTTCCGAGAGTGGGGAACTGGAAGGGTCGAAGCCTGGTCGCGATTCCTATGGGATATTGTGGCATTATGTGTTGTGCAGATCGAGGAGCCCGTTCGTGTTGAACAGCTGAAATAATAACAGTGTTTTGAGTTTCATTTCACATAAATATTTCACTGACATCACTGCTTTCCTATTTTATAGAGTTTCAGTTTTCACAAATATGTGATTGAAAAACATAGTTACAAAATTGAGTTGGAAAATTAGTAAAAATTGTATTATTCTTCGTGCAACTTGTAAGTACTAAGAACAAAAATATTTCGAAATGAAATACTAGTGTATTCAAGTTGTATCTTTAGCTGACATAAAGAGGATGGAAAGGGAAACGTCTGAGATTTGCGAAGATGTGAGAATTGCGATAAAAATTATGTTGGTCAGACTAAGCAGAATATAACAGCTGGCCTCAAGAAATATGTTTCACATATTCCGTTTCATAGACCAGAGAGGTCTATTGTCGGTCAACATACTTTAGAGAACGACAACATAATAAGTGAGGAATGGTTGAAATTGTTGAGATGAAAGTTTAGAAATCGAAAAATGTGGAAAGAGATCTATATAGAGGGATAAAAAGTTTAATTCCAAACGATCGGTTGTTTACTTTCATAGGTATTATAAGAGGTATTAGTTAATTAACAGGTACAAAAACAATATGTCACAATAAATTATACTAGCTAATAATTCAATGACCCTCACTAAGTAATAGATGATTTGTCCGGATGAGTATAACCGTGAAAATTAAGGTTTAGTTATCTCCTAATGATGCTATCTTCGTTAGCAAAACACACCATTAGTCGTCTATGTAAGATGGATTAAGTCCCTGAGACTTTGAAAAATACAGAGAGTGCTGTGATCAAATTTACCTGACACCTATTTTTTTTCCACATATTTCAATCGTTTATTTGTGTGGAAAATAAAGACCTTCGTTATTATTGCAATGATCGAACCATTTGGTTGTCACAATGAAGAAGATTAGTTGCTTAGAGGTCTTGGCCAAAGTAACTAAAAGAGGGAAATGTTGCAATTATAGCTCTTTATAACATTTCGTGTCATTGAGAAGTGAAACTCGAAGCGCTGGAAGTAACTTTAAACACTTATGGCTCAAGATAAAAGTCATGTCCAAATTGCTTTTCGATATCAACTCTTCCTAGCGGCCTATCCCAAATTTCTGAATTCATCCATCATCAAAAGAAATGTTTCATATTCCAAAAACAAGTATCTAGTATAAGATAACTGACATGTCGCTCCTGGTTTGGAAAATCCAGAAATACTGAATTCAGAATATTTCCCGTTCATGAATCTTAACTTCATATTTTTTGATAGCCTTAGGGTGATTTTTTGTGTGATTTCCATCTGAGGTTATAGAGTCTATACTGTTCACTGAATACCATGAGAATCGAAATGAACAGGGGTTGTACTTACATCCTTCGGATGACGATGACGTTTCAGTAATCGACTCTGTTCCCTTTTTGAATCCTTTTGTATAAATGTTGTATAAATGTCAAGTTCAAGATCTTTCGAAATTGATAACAGTTTTCCGCATACACAGTACACTGGATGGTGATAATTTTACTTGGTATGCAATTGCTTCAGATCTGCCTCCACCAGAAGAGGAAACATTGTTTGATCTAAATTGATTGAACATGATGCCATATTCTCATTTCCATTCAGAATCATAAAATCTACATCATCAAACAAATAATGTGAGAATTTTCCAAAAGAAGAAAACTACAATTAAAACTTTTTACAAAGATGTGTAAATCTTTCACAAAAGATTCTTTCAGATACAAACTGGAAGATAAAACCTTTTCAGAAAAACTGCTTCCAAATGAACATGTTGCAAAAATTCGTTATGTAATTTTTTCACATGAAATTTCAATTACATGAAACTTCTAACGGTACATGTATATCGGAGTTTCCGGGCAAGACTGGTCTTATCAGAAACCAAAAAGTTTTTTTCTAAAAACCTAATTTCTGTTGAAAATGTCCACTTTTCAATACACTTTTCAAATAGAACGAAAAAAATCTGATGATAAAACTAAGCTGACAGTTACTATTTCAGAATTTTGACATGAACATCGACAACTTCACTAGTATCTGTACTTAAACCAAAAAGATTAACCATAAGTTCTTATTTCTTTTATTTTCATTAGTGTCAGTCAGTAGGTACTGTACAGTTTGAACATTTCAAATATTGAACTTGTGTGTTCAGTTTAACCAGTTTGGAACTGAATGAAAACTTACAGGAGTATTTTCTTCTGACATTGCTTATCGTAGTAATGTCAAAAATTTCACCCAGTTTTAACAACCTATCAATGAGATTATTATGGCTGGAATTGAATTAATTAACCGTATGAATGTTGATACGAATTGTCATCATGACAAGAAGTCTCCTCCAGTGACATCGAAGTCGTAATGTTAAGAAAGAACTTCGTCTTGTAATGTTATCCAAAATGGTGCTAATAGGATATAAGACAAGTGTTCAGTCCTGAAACTTCGAGTTCACCATTGAGAATGATAGTATTTTATGTAAATGAAATTTTATGTTATTACTCTTTCATATATTATGTTGTGTAGCGTTCCTATGAATGTTATATGTCTGAATTCCTTGATTAATATTTTGAATACGAATTAATTGGGAAAAAGTGATTTTCGGGTAATTCAATGTTCATATAAAATTAGTTGTTTCTAAAGCACTTTCCTTTCGTTAAAATTTTGACGTTGTACCAATAATTCCTCAATATGTGCACAATCCAAATATACTCTGCTACCATTTCCTTATGTCTCGGTTTCTATGATTCTGGTGTTCACATTTTCTTATCTTTGAAGATCTTGAATCTCACAAACAAACGGAACACTTCTTTTTTTATTCTAAACGACTGAAACCCATAAATTGGGGAGGCCATTAATGAATTTCGGGATGGAGAAATTTTCAGTATTGCGATTATATATTACTTGAAATGTATTGAATGTTACAAACAAACACGGTTTCCAAAAACCAGAACTGCAACACTCTTCTCAACGCGCGTTTCACCAACCAAGTAGGCTTCTCCAGGAGATAAAGTACATTGATTTCTAACTCTAGAACTGATCTGAATTTAACAGGGTTCAACTTCAGACATACATCAATGATTTCGGGTACAAAAAGAAAGAAAGATTATCAGATTGAAAGAGACTGATGTTTCATATCGGAAGTCAGACATAGGCAATCTGTTTAAAATCTGTGTTTTCCGTTAACCAGCTGTCGCACCCCTACGAACGACAACCCTCAGAAGTCGAAATTTGTGCGAGCTAAGGATTAACGACATCTTACCTTTCAACGTGTGATTCCTAACACGGGTTGGACGATAGCGAGTGAAGATCGATCGTTCAGACTAGGACTTGAACCACCGACCAACACGGCAGTCAATTCGAGTGAGTGAACAAAGCACCCACGCCGAACCGCTTGGCTACCAACCGACCGTGATGTTGTTCTATTGGATAAATCAGATTACTATGAGAGAATCGATAATTTGACTGAGAACGGTTCTAATGATAAATTAAAAAGTAACCAATTTCCTGAGATGGTGCCAGAAATGAAAAACACACTCAAGAATTGACAAAATAATTTGATCGCATCGACTCTGAACTTGATTCTACACTATTCTAATCCTACAGTCCCTAAAATATGCGGTTTACAAAAAATTCCCAGATCTAGCAAGTCGATACAACTAATTGTCTTCACCATAAATAACCCTACTTATAAAATTACTAAATAGTTAACCATATAGATTGATACGCACTCAATCTCACAATAAAGTTTGAGTTTTGTTAATTCATTTGAATTCATATATAAAATTAAGGATGTAATTTCATGTAGGATGTAGTATCATTTGATGCATCCTCAACGAGGACTCCTCGTTGTTTCCAAGTATTCCTATACCAGAAACTATCAAATATTTGAAGGATCCACTGAGAGCCTATGATCTCAGTGGAGATACAATCGTAGATTACATATAACCAACCTAATTCTGCAAGGAGCAGATTTGCTTCCAGTTCAAAAACTGTTTCGAAAGACATCACGAAGGAACAGCAAAGAAAAACCTACTGCCCCCCTTTATATAGCTTACGTATTCATGAATAGACTTTTATCGGATACGCATATGACATATAGCGATTTTTGGTACAGAGATCCAATATAGAGGACTTATTTTGAACTCGAGCAGATCCCTGAACTTTAAGTTTACATATGAAACCCAAAACAGCGAGAAGTTAACATTCTTGGATGTATTGATGATTATAAGTAACCAGAGTCTAGAATTTGATGTTTATAGAAAGTATACCTGATAGCCCAAATTATTGCCCACAACACAAAATGGTAGAACTGAACTTTGTTGTCCACATGCTTGTTACGTTTCCTTTGAGTAAAGAAAGATATGATATTGGGAGAAATGTTATCTGGAACTTGGCTGAAAACAACGGTCATTCAAGTATAGTAAATACGTTAATCAGGATACATACATTTAGGAAGAATCTTCGTATATCTTCAACTTTTCCAAAAGACATGAGTCAAAGGACATTGTCCTTCCGTTTGAAGCAAGATACACTAAAAATAACCTTCAAAGCTTCTTGCTCACTTCAACAAATGTTATAGGTTACCCTTGCTAGGAATCACACGTTAAATGATTAGACCTCGTGAGTCCATTCGTAGACCAGTTCGTAGGGGAGCGTCAGCTGGTTAACGTAAAAACACGTTTTGAACAGGTTTTTTTAATCCTAAAAACAAGATGATGGAACATGAAATGTCGGGGATATATGAAATAAAGCAGTGAGGGCTGTGAGAAAAAATAAGCGAGTTAATCAAACTCGTGTTAAAAAACACGTAGCACATATCCGATTTCGCAGAGCAGAGAAATCTAGTGTCGGTAAAACGCAAGGGAGAAAGGCTATAGAATAAATGAAAACTGTCTGAAATTGTTGAGACCGGTACGTGACATTAGACTTTTGGATGCTTTTGAAAGTTTGGAACAATCACAAACCTCCCATTCCAAAGTACACTGTTCAACTTTATCTGTATAAATCACTCTGTTGAA